GGGGTTCCGAGGGTGGTCCCTACGTAGTCCTATGTGTGCAAGCTGTGGAACAAGCGTTGCTTTTCTGATCAAAAAGCGTGCGCACAGCTCTTATCCTGGCCTCACGATCGCTTGGCCCCTCATTTTCAAGCCAGTAAGCAACTAACTGGTTCTCATTGCGCTTTTCGTAATATTATAATACAGCAAGCTGGACAGAGTCCTTACACGTCAGAACAGGAAACGGAAGCATCGCTGTGATGGCGGTTAGCGTAGAGGCTGTTGCTGCTGCTGTTGCCCTGTGTTCCTCAATCCTCAGGTTCCCGCAGAGAAGATTGCGCTGGCGCAGAAGATGATCATTGCCAAGGCAAACGTGCTTGGAAAGGTGGTCATCACCGCCACCCAGATGCTTGAGTCCATGACCGCCTCGCCGCTGCCCACCCGCGCCGAGATGACGGATGTGGCGAATGCGGTGTTCGACGGAACGGATGCGGTCATGCTCAGCGGCGAAACAGCCAACGGCCGTTACCCGCTCGAGGCTGTGCGTACGATGTCGCACATCGTGGAGTATGTGGAGCTGGGTGTGGATTACGGCTTCCATCATGACTGGGTCAAACGATACAACTCAGGCCTGGTGCGTGGGAGTATGGGGTGTGGAGAATATGATGTCATATTCTTTCTTATGATGTCGTATGATGTCAAGAAGAGTCATCAAAGGGCCACCAGCTGCCAAACAACGCCCCAAAAGTACCAAACAGGGCCCAAACCGCCGAGATGTGAAACCGCCCCAAGTAGCCCAGCCCATGAGAGGGGGGAAAGGGGGGGGAGATTTTATAAGAGTTCGACGCAGCCCCGCCGGAACGGCCTGGCAGTCGGTATGCGCATCTGCCACTGGGGATGTTGGCGCTCGTGTGTGTACGGTGGATGGTTTGTCCCGGATCTGGGCCACGCCACCCGGTATCTTCTTTTTGATGGAGAAGCAGCCTCTCCTCTGTCCTACGCTGCCAGCGCGGCCCCCTCCCCCAGCCTGTCCCCGAACCGCCCATCTGCCAGCTAAACAGCTGGACAGCGAGCGCCAAGCAAGCAAAGAAACACGGAAACGAAATACGCTGGAGTGCTGGAAATGCCCCCGGGAGGGAGGGAGGGAGAGAGGGAGGCGGCCTTGACTGCTGTCAATATATATAACCGACGCACTCGCCTCTGGCCTTTATTCCCGTTGCCACACCAACTGATCCATGCCCCCGGCGCACCCCCCCCCTTCCTCATCCTCCTCCCCCTGGGCTCCAGGCGCCCGTGAGCCCTCTGGAGGCCACTTTGGCTGGTGTCGCGAAATCCGCCATTACCTTCTCCATGGACTCTAATGGAGATGGAGTAATGGACGCGTCAGAGGGTGAGTAGGTGGCTTGCTGGGTGTGGCTTCAAATCCTACCGGGGGCGAAGTAATACACCACAGAGGCACGAGTGTGTAGCGTACATCATACACGCTGTTGCTACCAAAAAGTGTTGCTGCTGGAATACCTTAGCGGGGGGAGTTGACGGGGAGGGGGAAATGTCATGAGGCGCCAACAGCTAATAAGCCACATCCTCTCATGCCATATCGGTTAGCTTCCAGACGTCCCTTTCTCTAAGCTTTCCGTCATTTCCCGGATGCCTTTTCCCCGCAACCAACACGCTCAGGCTGCATCGCAGTGGTGTTCACTCGCAGCGGCCTGGCTTCCCGGATTATCTCCAAGTACAGGCCCCCCTGCCCCGTCATCACGCTATCCGACCACGACTGGGTACTGCGCCAAGCCTCACTGACATTCGGCCTCTACCCACTGCGCGTGGAGGTGGCGGGGCTGGCAGACGTCCCGCGGGCCATTAAGGAGGCAATTGAATACGGCAGGTACGGCATCCTCCTACTTAATTTCTACTCTACTCGGTTTCTACAGGGCTATAATCTCAAGATGGCGATGTAGAGCAGTTAAGAACTGTTTAATTCGGTTATAAGTAAAAGGAACGTCTTTGCGATCGCACATCCATTTTACCAAGGGACAGTGCGGGGGGATGAAAGCAGTGGTTGAAGAAGGACGCAGGGGGGGGCGCGGAGAAAAAAGGGAGGGGCATCGTATCGGGCGATGACATCGGACCGTATCGCTTCAAGTCTCGGGCCGTTATCTCGTCGCGTGCTTTTTTTCTTTTTGTTGCGGGTCTTCCCCTTTGTAGCTGCAACTTTTTCCCTTTTGCTGGGGTTCCCCTCCCCTCCTTTCCCGAGGTCGCCTCCCTCAAAACCGCCTACTGGTCTGTCCTGCTTCTTGTACACTCTTTCCTTGGCAGCAGCTTCACTCGTTCGTGGTTCGTCTTTCCCCCATACAACCCTCCCCTTCAGGAAGAGGCACGTTGTGTACGACGGCAAACAAATCTTGGTGGCCACTGGCAGTGGCGAGGCATGGGCTGACAACGTGGCTCAGGTATCCGTGGATCAAATCGGATGGGGAGGTGAGTTTTGAGTTTTTCTGTGGGATTACGTTGCGCGGGGTGAGTTCATTGCTCCGATAGGTTGGGAGCCTGCAAGCACCGGGCCTGGCGATCATTTTTTCTGTCGCGTTGAGCTTCCGACGAGGAAAAGGCTTCAACAACAAGTTGCTTTAGTCGGGGCAGCCTGGACTCGACGGGGAAGGACCTGAGGTTCACAGCAGCTTCGGATGCGAACGGATTTCGGGGGGAGGGAGGAGGGGAGGGGAGAGGAGGAGAATGGAGTGTGGGTAGCGGCCTTTATGGAGGTGTTGGAGATCTCTTTGAAAAAACACCTCGGAGCTGAACTACCCTGTTGGGACGGGGTTAGGGGTTAAGACAAACTACTGACGATTGAAGCAAGCAGATTTACCAGCGATAGACGGATACTCCAGGATTAGACACAGATACCCCATCAGGAATATTGATCAGCTATTGACTAGTAATTGTTGGGGGCCAGAGGCATGGTGGATAAGGAGGGAGCCCTATTCCTATTGTTGCTGCCGCCCATCCATGCAACCTCATCATCACTGACTGGCAGCTAGCTTCCGTCGTCGGTTCTTTTCTTTTTCCATCACGGCTCGTGGCTCTCGCCCAACCTCGGTCGGCGTCCAAGCCCTATTTTTTCATCCTCTCTTCCCCCCCCCCACACACCCACACACCCCGGGCACCACAGCCAACAAGCTCGCTCGCGCGGTGAGCTCCAATATGGCGAACACGGCGCCCATCGAGTATAAGTCGCCGTTTGTGGGGAATGCCATCGCTTGCGTGCAGGTATATATACGTATATGTATGTGTGTGTGTGTGCGCGGGCGCAGCTAGGACTAGGGCTGGCTTTGTGTGGGGGGGCCCGGACAGGTTTGTGGACGGAGGGAGGGTAGGAGAGAGAGGCCTGGTGTTGTGCGTATGGAACAGTGCGTAAGGACGGGAGGACGGGATGGAGGTATTGCTCGGATAGAACAAGGAATCGATATCGATCGAGGGTGGGGAGGGAAGGAGGAGAGCAGCTGGGTGAAATGGTTTGGCCCGCATGTGCAGATGCTGCTTCTGCTTTCTCTAGCGAGGTCGCACGAGGCCAAGAGGGCTGCAAACGAGGACTTCTTGCGCTGTGCATCGAGTTCATACACTTCCGCTCTTCCGCCCAACGCACATCTACTTCTTCCCTCCCTTTCTCCTCTTCCTCTTTCCCGTCTGATGTCCCCCGCTCCCTCTCTTCCTCTGCCCCCCCCCTCCTACGCCCCCACGACCCCCTTTCCAGACGCTCCAAATCACACCTCAACTCATCATCGACCGCATCTCCATGTTCCGCAGCACCAAAATCATCGCCACGTTGGGTCCCAGCAGCTTTGCGGCAGCTAAGCTGGACGCCATGTTGGATCTGGGGGTCAGTTTGGTGCGGTTCTTTTTTCACGAGGAGCCACTGGTGAGTCGTACGCTATCTTCTCGTACGTCCTCTGGTCGTAATCCTTTCGGGGGTAAGGGATGGTGATAATGATTGATGGGGGTTGGGGTGGTCGTGCTGGTGGGGGTGGCGATGGTGGGGTGGTCGTGCTGGTGGGGGTGGCGATGGTGGGGTGGTCGTGCTGGTGGGGGTGGCGATGGTGGGGTGGTCGTGCTGGTGGGGGTGGCGATGGTGGGGTGGTCGTGCTGGTGGGGGTGGCGATGGTGGGGTGGTCGTGCTGGTGGGGGTGGGTTGTGGTGATCCCATTCCAAATGGGGAATATTGAACCCCAGGATCTAGAGCATCTCGTTACATTCCGAACAAACTGACAACCTCTGACCACCACCACCACCCCACACACACAAGCCTCTAAGGCCTCCTTGTCAATCATCCCAATGCTCACTTCGCACGTGCGCTGGTCCCTTTCCCCCTTTCCCTCCTCCTGCGGTCGCAAGCACGACATTGCGTCGTTTAGACGTCGGCAGTTAGCTATAGTTAATGCTTTGACAGTTGTGCATTGTGTGATTGAAATCCTCTCCTTTGCACTTCACTATGCAAAATAACTTCCAATTTACCTAAGGAGAACATCTTCCCCTCTACAGCCCTTCTACCAAGGTCTGCTAGAGCGCATTCGCGAGCAGCTCAAGCGGCGGGCGGATCCCTCGCTGGGCCACCCGGTATACACCACCATGCCGGGACTTATGGCCACAATCAAGGTGCGTTTGGAGAAGTTGGGAAGTGTGGGCCCGGGGGTTGGGAACGGAGTGGAGTGGGTCCGCGTCCCCTGGGCCCCTCGCCGCTTTCCCCGTTACGGCACGGACGCCATAACTTGGATGCCTCTCTCTTCCTGCCTCTCTCGTGTTCTCGCACTCGGGCGCCGTCCCTTTCGACTCACACCACGATTGTTCACGGTGCTGGTCAGCCCCAAGGGGCGGGGGCGGGGCCTGGGGCTGCCTGTGTGTTCTTCCTTACCACTATCTCCTCCCACCCGCACCCTCCCAACCCTGTCGGACGCCGGCAGTTCATTTCTGAGTTCCTCGCATATGATTTCCCCCCTGCTGCCGGCGCTGGTCCCCTGTCTCGGCAGCTGATCCTTTGTTCCTCGCAGCAAATTGACAACATCCGCCCCCCCCCCCCGCCCCGGCTCCCCGCGGTCATTTCCCTTGATTTGTTGCATGCGATCCAACCCCCCTTCACACATGCATACATACATACAAACACACACAGGGTCCCGAGGTTCGCACCACCCAGCTGCGCAGCCATGCCCCCTTGGAGCTTTCCGCGGGCCAGCAAGTCACGCTGGTGCCCACGCACGACTGGTCGTACAAGGGGTACAGCACCCCGGAGGGCGACCACGTGGTGGGGATCCACTTTCCGGCGCTCACCCGGAAGCTGCGTGTGGGTGAGTTTTCTCTGTCTGACCGTCTTTCTGTAAGTCTGTATGCTTGTGGGTGGGGTTGGTGCTGGGGTTAAGCTCGGATGCTGGATATGCAAGTCAGTCTGGAGTTTGGATTTGGGGTTGGGAGTGAGCGCAGCTGCTAGATCTGGAAGATGTAGATAGGAAGGAAGACGCCGGAATGAGGAGAAATAGCCTGAGGCTCAATAGTGGCGCTATGGACTAATACTGGGTGGTGGTGATGGCGGTAGTGGGCGGACAGAGTTGGCTGATGCCAACTACAGGCAACTACGTAAGGATTTTGCGCTTTTGCGCCGTCTGATTGAAGCCGGACCTCTTCCCGGGCCATAATTAACGGACAAGGAAACTGCGCGAGCGATACAGACGTGTATGTCTGTGTGTATGTATATCTGTATGTACCTGAGCTTTCTGCCGTTGTTGGCTTTCCGCAGGCGACGTGGTGGTCCTGTCTGAGGGCGCGGTGACAATTAAGGTGACGGAGGTGCTACAGCCGCCGCGAGGGGCCCTGCCACCCAGCAGCAGCGGCGGCGGTGGCGCCTTTTCAAGCAGCGGCGGTGACCTGACCAGCGTAGCCATCAGCTCCAGCGGTGTCGATCTGGTGGATTTGCAGGATTCGGCCGGGCAGGAGCAACAGCGGGATCCCGATTACCCGTACGGCAAGGTGGTGGCGACGGTGCTGATTGGCGGCACGCTGGGCGAGGACCGCGTGGTGGATGTCGCCGGGGGCAGCTTGCTGCATGTGAGCTTACGAGGGGATTATCACCCCTGGCCAGGGTGGGGGGATGGGGGTGTTTGGGCTGGGGGGGCTGGGCCGCATTATCATATGGAGGATGATGCAGGAGGCCACGGGAATGGATTGCTTGCGGACGACGTATAAACTAGTAAACGTTTGGAGGAGGACTACGAGGGAGGCGAGGTTGGACCATCTGGGGGTGCCATGTGGTGAAGTGGTGGTCAAGGGGTCAAGTGGCTTGCTCCTGACGGGGATGTCGGCACCAAGATCTGTCGTCCATCTGCTGTCTAGGAGTGCAGCATGCATGGCCATTATGATGCGAAGCCACCGGGTCGCCAAGCCGGGTCACCGGGCAGATTGTTGTTACTACCCTACGTAACCCCGCTCCCACGTTTTCCTCTGCTACCCTGTATGTATGTGTGTATATCTACTTAGGGTTTTAGGGTTTTACGTGTGTGTATGTATATACACGTTTGTGGTTTTCCACCGGGCAGCTTCCCCCGGTTGCAAATCATTACACACATCGCCGCCGGCGTCGGCGAGACGGGCCATGTTCCTTTGCCCATCGTGGACACCCCCCGCCAAGCATAAAAAAGCCAGGACGAAGAAATTTGAAATTATGAAAAAAATTGTGCGTTTGGACACACTGCAGGAGGAGTTCCTGGATGAGCGAGATCGGGAAGCACTCATTTTCTGCTGCAAGTAAGTGCAGAGCAGGTGTTTGTGTGCGTGTGCGTGTATGTGTATGTGTGCGTGTGTGTGTTAATGTGTGTATAAGGGGGGGGGAGCTCAGGCGTATCAGGAAATGGCGTGTGGTTTTGCAGTAATCGTCGGGAGTGATCTTCTTTTGCCGGGAGCAGTGTTACCAGAGGGCCAGTGGCGGAGGGTGGGAGTACGGTCGACCGAGAAAGGGGTGCGGGTGTGGATGGGTTATCGATATTGGACTGTGTGCTGCAGCCGCCTTAGCAGCAGCCACGTCCGAACAGCTCTGTCCTTGGTGGCTGCCCAGCCATGGCGACTTTTTCCGCCTTGACCTCGCCCATGGGTCCGCTTTTGGACGCCGGCAGTGGTACCTTGGACTGTGCATTTAATGGCCCGGCCGCCACACCCCGCATCTGTTTCAGGAATGGAGTGGACTTTGTGAGTGTGCCCCACGTCCGCAACCGGGACGACGTGCTGGCCGTGCGTGCGGTGTTGGATAAGCACGGCGGCGCTCGCATCAAGGTGAGCCGCCGACCTTCCTTCCGGTGCCCTGAGCTTGATCTGCATACCCGCAGACCTTTGCAAGTTCGTTGTCTAACGCCTACACATGTCACTTCCCGATCCTCCCGATCTGACACGGTCTGGCCTTCTCCTCTTCCCCTCCCACCGGGTCCTCCTCCCCCCTTCCGCACTTCACTCGCAGCTTCACTCGCTCGTGGTTCGTCTTTCCCCCCCCCCCCCCCGTGTCGCAGATCGTGTCCCACGTAAACAACGTTGAGGCCATCCGCAACTATGACGAGCTGCTCGAGTACTCGGATGCGGTGCTTGTGTCCCGGGCCAACCTGGGGATGCGCATCCCAGCGGCCAAGGTGCGGGAGAAGGGAGAGAGGGGGGATAGGGGATAACGTCATGGGTAGGTGGTATTCATCACGTAGTGGAAAGATGCGGTGTGTCCGTGTCCGTGTTTATTTTTCCGTGGGTAAAAACCATCAGCTGTAATTGGCAGGGCGGTGTGTATAAGCGGGTGGACAGACAGAGTGAGAGAGAGAGAGAGAGGGAGATGCGTTTGTGATGAAGTGCTGAGGTGAGATTGCTGCGCACTGCGCGTGCTGTGGAAGATGCTGTGGAGGATGTGTGTTTTATACACGTATGTGTTGGTCACAGCTCCCCTCCGTCGTCTTACCTCCCTCCCTCGTCTTATCTCCCTCCCTCCCTGTCTCCCCCTGCCGGACAGGTGGCTCTCGCTCAGAAGTGGATGATCGCCAAAGCCAACCTCAAGGGTCGACCCATCATTGTGTCGGCACAGATGATGTGGAGCATGGTGAACAAGTGGGTGGGGGGGGAGGCAGGGGAACGCTTGGGAGGGAGGGAGGAGGGAAGGGCGGTAAAATGGAGGGAGGTAAGGGCGGGTTACGGAATATCCGAGACTCAGGGCCCAGATTCCTGTTCGAGGAGAGGTGGCAACACGAATAGTGGCGGACAGGTTCTAATCTTTTGACACCCAAAAGGTTTCGCTACCTACCGCATCCGTGTGTCGCATCTTCGTCACCGTTTTGCATCGCCCACGCTTTTCCCCCTCCCGTATGAGGTCACACTCAGGCCCGCACACTCAACCTGCTTCCTTGACACGCCTTTTGACGGGGAACCCCCACCTTAGGTAGTCACTACGCCTTTCCTCCTTTGGGCTTAGCAGCTAGACACTCATTCGCGATATAGCTGACAAAGGCGCCACGATGACGACTTCTTAAGTCGCGTCGCTGCTGGTTGGTAATTTCTTTCTTACAACTTCCTGATGCAGTACCTGGCCATTTCTGGAGTATCTGTCCATTTCTGGGTTAGCTTAGCTTCACCTCACCCCTCTCTGTTTCATCTTTCTCCCCGCAATCCTGTGATGCGTTGCGCAGCCCTCGGCCAACCCGTGCGGAGATCACGGACGTCGCAAATGCATTGTACGATGGTGCTGACGCCATCTTCCTGCGTGAGGAGACGGCCATCGGCTCGTTCGTTGAGCGGACGGTGCGTCCCGTGCCCTAACTTCGTTGGTAGTAGTGGTGGTAGACGTGGACTCGAGCTTGGTGGGGTGGGCTGCCACTGTACTGCACTGTACTGCACTGTCCTAATCCCGTTGGGGTCCAAACCCGACCCCACCCACCTGAACCGCGCCTGAGCCCTATGTCCCTCGTCGTGAGCTCCCTCCTCAACTCAAATTGAGCGCCATTTGTTGGTTGGTTGGTGGAAGTCGGCAAGACGGCAGCAGTTCCCGCTCTCCCCCGCGCCGCGCCCGCCTCCCGCCTCCGAGTACAGGTCGCCATCGCGGCCGACATCCTGAAAGACGCAGGCGTGGGTGTGGACGCCTACGCGCAGCTCAACTACCTGAGGAACTACACACCCAAGCCCATGTCGACATTGGAGGTAATGAGGAGAAAGGGAAAGGGGCCTGTCTGCCTGTCCACGGTCTGCAAGGGGGCACGGATGTATGATGCGCTTCCGTGGCGTCTGGAAGGGAAGGGAATGTCCGCGGGTGGGGCGCGCAGCCATGCGGGCTTGGTAACATGTCCAATATTCCGCACATGGCTTGGGTCCGTATGATGTGTGGGACAGGGGTGTCATATCTTCACCCGTGGCAGCTACCCTGCGAAACCCTGCCTTCCCCGGTATTTCGGGGCACCTTCATCCAGTCACCCTAGCCGACTTCTCCGGATTCAGTGGATTGCTCAGGTTCAGCACCTCACCATCGGCATCCAACGGAATCTGCCGGTTCAACGGCGGCTCAGCTCCATTCCTGGTCAGCTCGCAGGTCTACTTTATCCCAGGTCACCATCGTCCATCGACTAGGGGCACTCTCACCTGCCACGCAATCGGAAGGATTTTCGACCCTGACCGGTCTCGATCCCGTATGTACAGTCCTCACTGCGAGCCTCGGTGCTGCTCCTCAGCCATACCCACCCGGCGCCCTTGGTTGTCGACCCGGGGTCTGGCACCCACTGTATTCTGCGTGTCCTTGAGCTTGCTTTGCAAGTCCCTGATCCAACTGTCCCGAACCAGCCGTTTAGTTGGCCTTTGCCTTCGACCCTACTCAGCCCTCACAGCCCGGCCATGCCTCACCCTGCTTTGAGACAGCTGGCCTCCTGGCTGCCTGCCTGGCGACTTGAAAAAACATGTGGATTTGGATACCCTTCGCTTTGTATTGTACACCAACTAGCTACGACTCCAGCCCCAACCCGACCCGATCCTAGGGGAAGGGGAGGGGGAAGGGAGCAACCTTCTTTCTTAACCCCAATCCAGCCCTAACCCTAACCCTAACCTAAGCCACACCCTACCCCGCGGGCCCCCGGGGCTGGCCTCTCGTTGGTTGGCTTCCCAGTGTCTGTGTTCCTCCGCAGTCAAGGCGGCTATCGACATGCAGGCCGCCCTGGTGGCGGTGGTCACGGACACCAGCGCCGCGGTGAGGGCAGTGGCCAAGTACCGCCCGCCGCAGGTATACGACAGGATGCAGCCGGAAGCGGCAGGCGCGTGCGTGTGTTCCGTATGCGTGCGGGTGCGGATGTTGATGTTGGTGGTGCTGTGTTGTTGTTCAATGAATGGAGGTAACAGAAGGTTGCATGGGGGGCTAAGTGGGCTAAGTGGCGGTGGTAGTAGTAGTGGCGTGTTCGGTGGGAAACGAACTCGTTGCCGCTACCTTGCCTTCGCGCGTACACGCCAGTCAGATTTGTTAGATGCAGCCACAGACCACAGCTAGATTTACAGCTCCCTGTAGAGCGGGTGGGCGTGTGGACGGCCTTGGAGCCTGGGGACCTTCTTTAGCGCTCCTTGGGCGCTTGGGAGGGGGCCAGGCTGATTTTTTGACCATAACACAAACGAACGCACAGACAGAGACACAGATACAGACACACAGACATAACGAATGCACAGGCATCCCGTAGGTGGTTTCCACGCGCCTTATCTCAACGCAATTAATGTTCCCCTTCACCCTCCCTTCCCGTAGGCTATTTTGGTGGTGACCACCCGGCCACATGTGGCCAAACAGTGCAACCTCAACTACGGCTGCGTGCCGCTGCTGCTGAAGGGTGTCAAGATGGGCAAGGATGAGGAGTACGTCATCCAGAAGGTCAGGGGGTGTTGTGGTGACTTGGTTGCCTGGTTTGGCGGGCTGGTAGGTAGCTCGATGGCCCGGCGGCTGGCAGCGTTCGATGCAGGGTTCGACACTGACCTTCCTGAGACTTGCGGGCTCCCCCGTACCTCCCAAATTTTCCTTACGGAGGGGCCCCCGTACCAGGCTCCTGTACCGGCCGAAAACCTTACGGGGGCCCCCGTAACCCCCGCAAAACCTTCACGGGGGCACTATCCTTGGCTGAAACGCTGTGGAAAGTGACGCTTTGCATTTTTTTGCCCTGTAAATCGTTGTTTTCGTTATTTTCTCGTGAACCATTACACTCGGGGACACGGCACAGTCAGTGAAAGCCAAGCGCCTTGGCCGCCGCGGCCGCCCATCCCTTCTGCTCCTCTTTCTCGTCCTCCTCCTCCTCGTCCTCCTCCTCCTCATCAAAATCCGCATCCACGCACGACTCATCGGTATCTCGTCCTACAATTTTAAGGTGGCGCGCTTCTTGGAGGGCGGTGGCTTAGGAGGCCCTTGGTCACCTCCTGACGACTCCTTGTCTGCCATCGCTGGATGTTACAGACCAGAAGTTATAAAAGTATTGTGAAAAGTGTAGTTAAATATTGCAATATGAATTATGTCTGCCAAGTGTGTGGCCTTATCCTTTATATGGTCAAAGGGTACTACAACCTTGCACGGCAGTCGGCAATCGGTCCGTCCTCTCCCCTACGAGGGACTTTGCGGGCCCCGTACGGCCTCTTATAAATCCTTAAAATCCTTACGGTGGCCCCCGTAACCGGCCTTCGGCCGGTCCGGGGGCGGCCCCGTACGGGGCGCTTCGCGCCCCAAAATCCTTACGGGGGCCACCGTAAAGTCCTACGGGCCCTTACGGGGATACCGAAAAAAGGCCAAAAACTTACGGGCCCTTACGGGGTGTCGAACCCTGGTTCGATGGTTTGAAGTGGACTTTTGACCGAAGCGCGCATAAACCAAACCCCGAGCGCTTGCGTGGACCCGTCCGACTGCAGTGCAGTGGGTGTTCGCTCGAGCTCGGCACCTTCCCTCTCTTTCCTCCTCCGCGTACTCCCTGCCCCTCCTTGCCCCTCACTACCTGCCCTTTCCTACCTACCTGCCTACCCACCTGCGTGTTGCCTGATTGTTTTGGACTCCTACAAGTGGTTTGAGGAGGCGGTTTGGGCGCCATCGTCGGTTAGTTCGTTCTTCCTACCATCATCATCATCATCATCATCATCCTTGTCACCATCGTCACCATCGTCATCATCATTATATGATCCCTCTGCTCCTAACTCGAACAATACGCTGATACCGCTGGGACGGCAGCTCTGCATACCAGAACCTCTCCACCGTCCGCCTTCCCCTTCCCCTTCCCCTGCATGCAAGCAGATCATCCACTTCGCCCGCGCTCAGCGCCTGGCTGCCTTCAAGGACGGCGACTGCGAAGGCGACCAGCTCATTGTCGTCCAGGGTCCCAGCAACCGCATGTTCGCAACGGAGGAGGACCTCGCGGAGATGCAGTTCGTGACGCACGTCATCGGGCAGGAAGCCGCGGCGGTGGGTGGCTGTGGCTGTGTTAGGGAGGGGCCCGCGTTCGTGTGCCGCACGCATGAGAGTGACGCTGTAGTGAGCGGATCAGTTGCCGGCGGCAAAGGTTTGCCTGCCTCGCTACCAAGCTGCTTCCCAGCTTTGGGACTGTTACTGCGGCTCACCTGGTGCCTTTGCGGCTCATCCTGGCGGATCGTCCCGCTGGCCTCCTACCTAAGGACTAGAGTTACAAGTTACAAGTTCTGCACACGCGCGCGGGGGTGTCCGTAAAAGCCGGGTGACCTCATGGCCTTAAGACTAGAGGAGTCAGGCCGAGGGGTAAGGGAAACCCCGGAATCCTTCATTCCATTCCAATCCACTTCATTCCATTTGCAGCCTAACATGTGGTATATGACCCGCGCTATACCGTCGACTGTTGTTGTCGTCGTCATCGTCGTCGTCCTGTTCAGGTTCTTACACCCTGCGGCTACAATGGCGCCGACACCATCTCCTACCGCTCGACCAAAGTGGGCCTGGACCTGATCTGCGGCCCCACCGACATCCGCACCCGCAAGACCAAAGTGGTATGCACTCTGGGTCCATCGTGCTGGAGCCGGGAAGGGTTGGAGATGCTGGTGAACAACGGCCTCAATGTGGCAAGGTGAGGAGGAGGAGGAAAGGGGGAGCACGGGTTTGCGGCCTGCTGTCAGGCAATATGGGGTTAGGTAGGTAGGTAGGTAGGTAGTACACCAGGCCTGCATCTGCGCCACCACCTCCCGTCTCCGTCCGCGGGCGTGACGCCTCCTGCACCGTTGCGCCTTCTCCTCAACCTCCTCCACCTCCACCTCCATTTCCTCCATTCCCACCTCCTCCACCTCCTCATGAACCTCCACCTCCACCTGCTGAACCTGCAGAACCTGCTTCTTCGTCGCGTCGGGTTTACTTCCCGCCTTTTCCCTCCACCTTCCTTTTATCGCTGACTTGTTCCGCCTTTTGCCCCGTGCATCCTTCATTATCATTTCTTATCGGCACCTTCACCCTCTTGGCCCGTCAGGTTCAACTTCAGCCACGGCACCCACACGGCGCATCAGGAGGTGCTGGACAGGCTGCGGGAGGTGCTGGAGGTCAGCGGCGCATCCCACCGTGTGGCGCTGCTGTTGGACACCAAGGGTCCGGAGATCCGCACCGCCATGCTGCGTGGCGGCAAGGATATCCAGCTTGAGGCTGGGCAGATGGTGACGGTGGTGGCTGTGGGCGAGGAGTATGTGCGGTGGGAGGGCTACAAGGACGAGGCGACGGGGGAGACCAAGATCGGCGTCAGCTACGCGCAGCTGTGTCGGGATGTGAAGCCGGGGGGCATGATCAAGATTGGTGACGGTCTCATTACCTTGGAGGTGGGCTCCAGGGGTGTGTGTGGAGGGGGCGGGTGGATCAATGGAGTACCTCTTGGAAGGGCGGGTGGTTTCACGAGGACGGAGTTCTTAGCACGGGTGTGTCTGGGTGCGCTTTGCTGGTTCCGGCCTCCATTAGATCGTGGTCGTGTGGGAGGGAGGAACCGCTTTTTTCTTTCGTCCCCAAAGGTGGAAGGGAGGGGGGGAGGGAGGGAGGGAGGGTATTGAACCAGTTCTCGCGCTTTCCGTGTGCGGGGCAGGTCCTGTGGGGCGGTTCGGCAGCGGCAGTCGTCGTTAAGTATGAGGGTATTTGGCGAGGGTATCATCGGTATCATCGGTGGTGTCCGGTCGTCTTAACGTGCTTAAGCCTTTAGGCAGGGGAAGTCAGGACTGGTCAGGAGGCGCAGAGCTGGCCAATAGGCTAATAGTCAGCAGGACGTGTGTAGCCAACGGTGGGGCTGGAGACCTGGCTGCATTACGTGTTGTCAGTCCTAGGGCGAAGGCACTTCAAAGAGAGTGGGAGATTGGGAGCATGGGATATCAAACTTACCCACCTGTTGCTTCATTCCCACTGCCGTGTTGTGGTCTTGCCGGCCCCGTGATTTAATCCACATACACATACGCACAAAGACACACACTAACCTCGTCGCAGGTTCTGGAGATTCTGTCCGACAAAGAGCTGCGCGCCCGGGCCCTCAACTCCAAGAGCCTAGGTCAGCGCAAGAACGTGAACCTGCCAGGTATGTATGTAAGCATGTATGTATGTGTGTGTATGGTTAGCGGGGTGGGGATGGGGCGGATGAGGGTGAGGGTGCGGGGGAAGGGCTGGGGTCCGGAGCAGAGGCGGAGGACCGGTGGGGGGGGACGAGCTCCGTTGCGAAGTGCGAGAACTGCGGGGCCGCCCACTGGGCTGCGATGCCATCCATAGTATTGTATGAATATGAATATGAACTGGATTTCGCCGTAACGGCCCTCCTTCCGCTGCTGCCCTTTGCCTCAATCCTTGTTCCAATGTGCACGCCTCCCGCCTTACCTTCCTTCCCCTTTCCCTCCCTCTCCCTCTCCCTCTCCCTCCCTAGGTGTGCATGTGGACCTGCCTGTACTCGGTCCCAAGGACATCGACGACGTGAAGAACTTCGCCGCGAAAAACAAAATGGACTTCGTGGCTGCGTCCTTCGTACAGAGCGCAGAAGACGTCCGGTGCGTGGCGCTGTGATGGACTGGAAATGGGCATGTCTTCGTTGGGGACGTCCTTTTGTTGGTTGACCTGCTGCAAGCAACGGTCCTCTCGCGTGTGTTCCATATGTGCAGGTTCATCCGCCGCGTGCTTGATGAGGTGGGGGGCCAGGGGGTCCGCATCATATCTAAGATTGAGTCCACCGCGGGCCTCATCAATTACGACGACATTCTTCGTGAGAGCGACGGCATCATGGTGGCTCGAGGGGATCTGGCAATGGAGATACCCTCGGAGAAGGTGGGGGAAGGGGAGGGGGAGGGGGAGGGGTTGAGCTTGCCGGTTTGTACACGTGCGCGTTGGTCTGTGTCGTCCACCTCACCTCACCTCGCCTCACCTCACGTCTCATCCACCTGGCCGCAACCCTGTGGCACGCACCCTCGTCTGCAGGTGGCCCTCGCTCAGAAGATGATGATCACCAAGGCCAACATCGCGGGCAAGTTCATCATCACCGCCACCCAGATGCTGGAGTCCATGACCGCCTCGCCGCTGCCCACCCGCGCCGAGATGACGGATGTGGCGAATGCGGTGTTCGACGGAACGGATGCGGTCATGCTCAGCGGTGAGTGCCTGTGCGGCGGCGGCGGCGGCGGCGGTGGCGCAAACAAACACAGGGATACACACACACCCACACGCATCCCCACACACATGCCTTTGTCCTCTTTCTCGTGCCTTCAATCTTGTGAAACGTACATGACGATGACAAAGGGAGGTAAGAACCGCAACAGCAGTTTTCCGGCTGGTGAGAGTCCGCGCTCGCCATCACCACATCGAAACCCAGTGCCCGACCTTCTATTTATGTAAATATGCATGCATGTATTTATGTCCGGCGGCCATCTATGTACTATCACTAAAGACACCACCCCTTACCTTTCCTGTAGCTATTTGCATCGACGTGCTTCGTCTTGCATTCACAAGATATGTATGTTAGCCCTGCCTGTGTGTTGACATGTTGGCGGATATATCAGGCGTGTGAGGCCGTGGCGTGGTCGTACCTTTTCCGACCATCAAAGGAACACACATCGGTGTCCCTGGTAGTGTCTGGAGCAAACCCTCTCCGTTCAACTCCTGGCGTGGTTTGTCGTGATGATGTGAGACTTAGGCTAGACTTCACCTTCGTACCGGGCTGCTGTGTTGGATTGAGTAAACGAAAAAATCAAAAAGCTTTTGGGGGCTTTGCCAATATACCTACACATATACCTATTTATGTATTTAGGTAATATTTATAAATTTCAATCTTTTCAAATTTATACGGTTTGGTTTTCTGAAAAGAAGCCTGCTGTTGGGAACCTGGCTGCCCGGCCAGGTGAGACCGCCAATGGCACCTTCCCCCTCCTGGCCCTGACCACCATGGCCAACATCGTGGCGAATGCGGAGGTGGGCACCAACTATCCCCAGGTGAGTTGGGGGGAAGGGGGAAAAGGGGGACTCGGGGTGGAGTGGCGAGGAGTGGATGGAGCGCATGAGAGTTTTTTGACCGTGGTCAGCGGTGTCACGTCTCCTGTGGTGTGTTTTGTCCATCTGGCAATCACCGTCTTCCGAGGGAGGGGAGGGGAAGGGAGGGGATGGGGGAGGGGGAGGGGAAGGGGGCAGGTGTGGGATTATGGGTTCTGGGGTTGTGTATGGGGAGTTTTGCTGACCAGAGCTACAGCGGTGAACCAAGGGACTCCCTAAATGTGTGTCGGGTTGGCTTGGATTTGGCACGCCCGTGCAGGTGTACGACTTCATCCGCGACTTTTCCGCCCGTCCCATGAGTACGGCGGAGGCCGTACTGGGTTGCGCTGCCAAGAACGTTCTGGATGTGGATGCGGCACTCATCCTGGTCATCAGCTCCACAGGTGAGTCCACGTCACCACTCCTCAGTACGGCTGCGGCCCCCAGACGGGCATGGATTAGGAAATACGAGTATGAAGCGAATGGCCATTCCTTTCGTTTCGTGACGTAATAGAAACATAAAGCAGACACAATATATAGCCATAGAAATCTGGCCATGTTGTACCCGTGTGTAGCTGTAGCTTCGATATATTTCTTAAAAGCTGCTAAAAATTCTGCACCGACTGCGTGCACTGTCACAAAAAAACGACCGTTTTTATACAGCAGAGGTTGCTCCTCTTATTCCAAGACCATACTGATGATTCCTTAAACCCCGTAGATAGATTTTTTGGCGTGTCTCCGCCGTGTCCATCCCCTGCATCTGGGCATCTCGCCCATCATGACGACATAGCCAGCCAATTTACAAGGGGGCGTCTGGTATTCCGTCCTACCTCTGTCCGCCTTGTCAGTAAGACAGCAGCAGCAGCAGCAGCAGCAGCGAGCAAGGCTTGGGAAACCGGAGTGGTCCGCCACATAGTTCATTCTGTTTGCCCCTTCGTGTTGTTCCCATGCGGTCTGTTTTGCGGCTCCTTCCCCGGAATTTCCTATCCAAACTTTAAATGTTAAAAATCCTGTATCCAAATCCGAAACCAAGAGAGATCCGGCACTCTTCCCCGCTGTCACACCTATTTGCCCATCCGCGCTCTCAGGCGCCAGCGCCCGCCTGGTTGCGAAGTACCGGCCCCGGGTGCCAGTGCTGCTCGTCACCGACTCCCTCGCGGCCGCCCGTGCTTGCGCGCCCGTGTTCGGGGTGTACGTCAGCATCGTGGAGCAACTGCCCGCGTCGCGATTCGATGTGAGCCGGGTTGGCGCTTATGGTGGTGGGAACTGCTGGTATGCTGCTGCTGCTGGTGGCGGTGGTGGCCCCTAGGGGCAGCCGGTCGGGGAGGTGGCTCCCCCTTCGGATCGTGCACGTGAAGAAGTGGCGGTTGGAATGGAACTAAGCAACTAATTAACTAGCTAAATAATTAGTTTAATTTACAAATGGAATGTAAGCGCAGAAATGTCTATAGATGTGTCTTGACATATCCATATCCGCCTACGGCGGCGTTGGGAGGGGGTTGGGGAGAGAGAGATCCGGATACAGCTGCAGGTATTGTCCTTTAAGGCCATCTCTTGAGAGGATGGCGATGGCATCAAAGCAGAGCATGCTAGAGCACGGCGCGAGCTGACGGTTGTATTTTTCGTCGTCGTTGGAGTGTTATCAGCTTGAGGGGCCTGAGGTTTGGGGGAGCTCGGGGCGGTGCGGAGAAGACGACGATGTTTGGTAGGTTGTACCGGAAGGCGAAAGAGGCTGTGGCGATCCTGTACGGCATTCAACACGGAGGGGTTACTGTGGATCTTTGCTGATGATGCCATCCCCGATCTCCTGACCGTCTCCTCCCCACACCCACCCGGGCCCCACCTCACCACATCCCTCTTTCCTGCCTTTCCTGCCTTCCCGCATGGTTTCATTCCCTCTCCTGATGCGCGCGGCCTGCTCCTGCTCCTGCACCCGCGGATGAATCCATCCCCCGGGGCACTGCTGGGTTCACCTCCCACCTCACGCCGCGTGTGGTGACCTGTTGTTTACCGCGTCTGGCGGCGGTGGCGGTCGTGGGCTTTCTTTCCCCCGCTGCGGTGACTTGGTGGTGACCTGGCGGCCGGTCGACTTCGAGCGGCAGGTCGACTTCGAGGTGAGGACCAGTTGGCGCGAGAGGTCGTGTTTGCACGGGGCCATGGTTTGCAGCCTTCAGGTTACTTGGTGGCACACGACGGGGCACGACGCGACTGTGTAGGAGGGGTGGGGGTGGGGATGGGCGCAGGTTGTTAAGGCCCAGTGGCTGGGTCAGTGCGTCGTCAGTATACTGTAGCGCAGCGCAGAGCAGCGCGTCGCGTTACCATGCCGCCGGTGTTGCAGCGTCGTTTGGAACCTCAGCTCCCTGAGGCCTTTCCTGAGGCCTTCCCTGAGGCTCAGCGCGTCCACATTGCCGCCACACTCTGCTCTTTCTCCCCCTTCTCCCTTCCCCCCCCCTACCATACCACCATCGGAAGGTCCAGCTGCAGCTCCCAGGCACTGGCAACCCTTCTCTTGCCGAGAGTGCTACTGGGCCTCCTCTTCAGGGCCATTTAGTTACAACGACCCGGCTCCTCTCCAGCTCTTCCCATCGCGTTGTTGGCTCCGTCCTGGCCACCTGGTACCTTAAACGTTACACTTTCACGTAGGATGGGAGCACCTGAAGAACACGTTTTTCCTCAGTCAACTTGGCCCCGTCTCCTCAATCACACCTGCCTGTATCTCAAAACAGGTCCTTCTAGAGGAGGCCACGATGTTCGCCATGGAGGCCGGTCTGTGCCCTCCCGGCAAGGAGGTGGTGGTGGTGCATGGTTGCAGCAAGGCGGATGCGGAGGATGGACTGCCCATGGTGGCCATCCAGGTGCGTGAGTGCGTGAGTGCGTGTGGCACTTCACCCACTTCATGTATGCGAGCAGGAAAAACATTTGAAGGCTGAGTCGCGCATTATTATTAGTTGCATGCGTGTATTTTTATAATGGGGCACAACATGTCTTAAAACCCATGTCCCACACGCGCCTTACAACGTGTCCCAGGGCCGCCTTTTCTTTACTTGGTGTGTCCACTCCGCCGTTCGATTCTCCGCTCCCTCACCCGCTCGCTCGACTCCCTAAGAATCCCCTAGCCCTTCGCGCCGCTTTACTTACTTCGCTGCCCGCCGCCCTACCATCTTCCTTTGCGCCAGTCTGCGCCCCCATACCCCGCCCCCCGACCAATTGACTCCCTCGCCGCAATCTCCCCCCTTCAGGTCGCCCCAGGAGCAGAATTTGAGCAGCAGGAAGACGACGACGACGACGGCATCGACTCATCCGCCTCCCCTTCGCCGCACCAAACGCGGACTCCCCTAGCCGCGGCACCGCAGCAAGGCCAGCGGCAGCCCAGTGGCCCACTACGCCAAGGGCTCCTGGACTCCCCTTCCCCTTCCCCTGCCGCTGCCACTGCCGCTGCCGATGGGGCTCCGTACACGGGGGCAGGCGCGCTGGATCGACCCAGTCTCGTGGGCCTAGATTTGGACAGTCCGGGCACCTCAGCGAACCGCCGAGGGGGAGGCGGCCTCCTCATGACGCGCCGCAGCTCTCGTCCAATCCGCTCCGGCCGGCCCAGCCTCCTCCTCAGCTCCCAAGCCTCCCAACCCTTAGCCACAGATTCCATCTCCTCCACCTCCCCAACTGCCGCCGGCGCTGGAGCCACCGGCGTTGCGGCCCGGTCCTCCAGTCCGCGAACCCCCGATGGCAACACCAGCGCTGCTGCCCCGCTTGTATACAACCTCTCCCGCCTATCAAGCTCCGGATTCTGCTCCTTTCCGTCCCCGCGTCGCAAGGTCGTGGCCGCGGGTGGCGGCGGCGGCGGCGGCGCGGCCAGCAGCAGTGTCCTGGCTGCCAAGACGCTGAGTCTGCGTACCACTGCCATCTCCCTGTCCGACATCTTGGATCATGGTCTCCCTGCTGGCCGCAAGACCAAGATTGTTTGCACTCTGGGCCCGTCTTGTTGGTCGGAGTCCGGTTTGTGTGGGCTGCTGGATGCGGGTATGGACGTGGCGAGGTTCAACTTCAGCCACGGAACCCACGCGGCGCATCAGGAGGTGCTGGATCGATTGAGGAAGGTGGGTGCGGGGAGAAGGGGAGGGGAGGGCGAGAGAGGAACTAGAGACGGGGCTGGAGATAGGGCTGGTGGTGAGGGGAAAAGGGGCCTGGAAGGAATTTTTTAAGGTAGAAAAGGGGAGGGGAAGAGGTAGCGTTGTGTAAAAACGTAAGTGTGTTAGGGAGGAGGGGCTGTAGCGCAGCCTTACGATGGCCCACCGTAGTTTTATCTACCGGTGCGTTGATATGGATATGGATTTAAATTTGACGGCGCCGTTGTTGTACGAGGGCCGTGGATCCCCTCCATTCTAAACCCCGTAATGATGATGGTGGTGGTGGTGGTGGCAGGTGTGGCAGGACCGCGGCAATCGTCGCCGTCTCGCGTGCCTCCTGGACACCAAGGGTCCGGAGATCCGCACCGCCATGCTGCGTGACGGCAAGGACATCCAGCTTGAGGCTGGGCAGATGGTGACGGTGGTGGCGGTGGGCGAGGACTATGTGCGGTGGGAGGGCTACAAGGACGAGGCGACGGGGGAGACCAAGATCGGTATCAGCTACGCCAAGCTGTGCCAGTAAGTTGCCGCTGCGGGCGGCGAGTTGAGACTTGTGGGTTAAGCGGCTAAAGGCACGTTTTTCGAACGGACACCTCTACCTCCAGGGCTTTTTTTCCTCTGTCGCAACTTGATATTTACACCTTGCTTCGTTAACCTACTAAATGATTAGTCCAGGTAGTTTGTCCCTTTGTACCCTTTTCAACATTTCCCTTTCTCGGCTTCCATTTCTTGAGCATTGCCGTCGTCGTCTTCCTCGGCTTGTACCACATTGAAGGCCCTCCCGCATCTTCCCCCCCTCTGCCCTGCCCTGACCTGCCCTGCCCTGACCTGCGCGAATCAAACTCCTCCACCTCCCGCTTCAGGAGTGTGGCTCCGGGCAGTCGCATCCTCGTGGCTGACGGCTCCCTGGCCATCGAGGTGGTGGGCTTCCTGTCCGACCGGGAGCTGCTGGGTCGCTGCCTCAACTCCAAGAGCCTAGGTCAGCGCAAGAACGTGAACCTGCCAGGTATGTATTATGTATGTATGTATGTGTGTGTTATGGGTAGCGGGGTGGGGATGGGGCGGATGAGGGTGAGGGTGCGGGGGAAGGGCTGGGGTCCGGAGCAGAGGCGGAGGACCGGTGGGGGGGAGAGGGGCGGCGGAGGCGGGGGTAGCTGCGGGTGGTGATGTGGAGAAGAGGGGCTCGGGTATCGTGGCTCGGGAAGCCAAGTGGCCCTCCCCTTTCCCTTTCCCTTCCCCTCCTTCCCCCCTCCATTCCAGCTCACGCCATCAAATTTTTTATTCCTTTTTCTCCGCCTATACACCAACCTTTACTTCTTTACGGCTTCGTGCTACTACTTTCTTCCGCTCTTACTTTAGTCTTGGCGGCTAGGTAGGTAGGTTTCCGTCATCATCTTCACACACCATCCCGAGGTCGCCTCCTTCAAAACCGCCTACTGGTCAGTTCTGCTTCTTGTACACTCTTTCCTGGGCAGCAGCTTCACTCGGGTTCGTGGTCGTCCTCCCTCCCCCCTCCATCCCCATCCGCAGGGGTACATGTTGATATCCCCGTGCTGACCAGCAAGGACGTTGAAGACCTCCAGAAATTCTGTGTGGGCAATCGAATGGACTTTGTGGCGGCGTCCTTCGTGCAGGTGGGGTTGGGTGGGTGGGTGTTTGGGCTTTGGAATGGAACGGAAATGTGGTTCCCAAACTATCCGCTGCGGCGCGGAGATGCGGAATGGTGAATGCGGAAGAAGCGAGTGAGAAATAGTGACCAGACAGACACCCCTGAAGGTGGTGGAGGTGCTATATGTTATCGTTATGATGGCGTTGTGCGTACTCTCCCTCCCTGGGCCCCTCGCTACCGGTCGGGATTGCAGAGCGCGGATGACGTGCGGCTGATCCGCCGGGTGCTGGACGACGCGGGCGGCTGGTTCGTGAAGATCATTTCAAAAATTGAAAACGAGTCGGGCCTCATCAATTACGACGACATTCTTCGTGAGAGCGACGGCATCATGGTGGCTCGAGGGGATCTGGCAATGGAGATACCCTCGGAGAAGGTGGGGGAAGGGGAGGGAGAGGGGGAGGGGTTGAGCTTGCCGGTTTGCACACGTGCGCGTTGGTCTGTGTCGTCCACACCTCACCTCACCTCACCTCACCTCACGTCTCATTCACCTGGCCGCAACCCTGTGGCACGCACCCTCGTCTGCAGGTGGCCCTCGCTCAGAAGATGATGATCACCAAGGCCAACATCGCGGGCAAGTTCATCATCACCGCCACCCAGATGCTTGAGTCCATGACCGCCTCGCCGCTGCCCACCCGCGCCGAGATGACGGATGTGGCGAATGCGGTGTTCGACGGAACGGATGCGGTCATGCTCAGCGGCGAAACAGCCAACGGCAAGTTTCCGGACACTGCCGTACGCACCATGGCGGCTATCGTGGCGAATGCAGAGAACGGCAGTGCTTACGTGTCCACCCAGGCCTTCTTGCGGTGAGGAGCGTGGTGTGATGTACACGGACATGATGTGACGTACATGACAATTGCCACCCTTTCGCGAGCCGCATGTAACCCCCCCCACTCGCACACCGTCACTCGCTGACAGACTGACCTGCCGCAGCACCTGCGTAGTGTGTAGGGGCCCAACCCTTACTTAGGGCTGGGGCTGTGTAAACAAGTGGCGGTGTCATTTCCCAACCTTGTATGGTTTTCTTCCCCCCCGGGTCCTCGGTCCCTCTCTGGCCTGGGGCCATGCTGGCCCACACAGCGACCACACCCCCAAGCCCTTCGGCATCACGGAGGCGTCTGGTGTGGCGGGTGTGGCGGCTGCCAAGGACTGTAACGCCCAGCTGCACATCACCTTCACGTCAGGTGGCTATGCTAACCGAATGGTGTCCAAATACCGCCCTGCCGTACCACAAGTGAGAGGCTGGGAGCACTGGGATCTGAAAAGGAACCCCGCAGGATGTGGTGTGTGGGTGTATGTGTGTGTGTGTGTGTGTGTGTGTCACCCGGTGCAGCACAGCCCAGTGCGCTGCGCTTCTTCTGTCGATTGCCTGCGGTTGCTGCTGTTTACCACTGCTGGTAATCCTGTTGACCGCTTGGTTTCTTTTCGGTCTGTTTTCTCTTTCGTGTTGGGTTCCAAACAGATTGTGGTGACCGACAACGAGACAGTGGCCAATCAGGCTAGTGTGGTATTCGGGCAGTATGCTCTGTTGGTGGAGACTCTCAAGGTGGGAGAGGGCAGCAGTTTGGCGGAGGCAGCGGACGAGCTGGTGGTGCGGGCTGCGACATTTGCACAGGAGCAGGGATTGTGGAACGGCATTGGCACCGGTGCGTGTGTGTGGGGTGGGTGGGTGGGGGGGGGGCGAGGAAAGGAGGGAGGGGACGTAAGGGGACTTTTGGTGAGCGGGGTGTGTGCGGGGAGGAGCAGTACATAACCCCTTCCCCAGCGCCCCACTGCCACTCCCTCCCGCCTCGGGACCCTCAAGGCTTCGCTGGCATGCTGCCTGGTCTTGGAGCATTACCCGATTCAGCAGATCCATCTCCTTTTCTTTCCCAAAAATGCTCGCATCATTGCCGTACTTGTTCCGCCTTCTACCCTAGACCTTCATTTCCCTACCTCTCCTTCCCCCACGGGCTTCTGGGTTCCCTACCTTCCCGCCCGCCGATTTTTCGCTCCGAAACCCCTTCTTTCAGCCATTTTGCTCCATGGCCACGATACGTTGAGTGCGGACAAGCAGCCCGTGCTTCGGGCCGTGGATCTGTTGTACACCCTGGGCAGTGGTGGCGTCTGCGGATTGGCCACTTTGAGCACGCGGGGCTCGTCCATCAAGTCACCCGTCACTTTGTACCGCTCCTTCAGCCTGGCGGTCTGAGGCGTAGCCTCATCTCTCGTGTGATTTGTGATTTGTGATTTGTCCATAGCGATAATAGTAATCAGCAAGGACGGCACCCTCCCCCGGGGCTAACGGGCGATCAGCAGTCGGGGGTTCCGACGAAGATGGATAACGGACAGTGCACGTGCGTGTGAGCTCGTCCGTGAGCGCACATCTGCGACTTGCCCTGGCGACCACCTTGAAGTATGCTATTGAATGTAGGGCAACGCCTCGCAGCCGGGAGCGGCTATCCTGCGGCACAAGGCGACTGTGTCGTACGGTGTTGTACGACGCGGTGACGCGAGTCATTACGGCGAGTCGTCGTGGTCGTGGCCGTGGTCATGTTAGCAACGTGCGTGGTGCACTGCGATTAAGGCTTCTGCTTTTAATAATTGTTTTTTAATGCTAAAAGTGAAGGCTGCGAAAATGCAAAGAGGAATAATTAAGGTTTTTAAATGATAGGTTTTTGAGGAGATGCGTAGCTATGTGAGTGCGTCTTGCGATCCGGGTTCTCCTGTCCAGCTGGCCGGGACTGTGGGCGGCGTGTTAATGAAGTCGTGCGGCTGTAGCGGCTGTGGAGAGATGCATATGCATGTCCCTAAGTGAAAATCCACCTACCTGAATAACAATCTGTTGTCTGCTTGTATCTGCTTATATGTATGTGTTGACCCATTGGGTTGGTTTTGTGTGGCTGCGATTGTTCCTGTTAACTGAGGACTCGGGGCTGCGATTGCGGCTGGAAGAGATTGTTCTGTGATAGGGCGTTCTATTTGTGTCTGCACGCGTATGATGTTCGTGTACGTGTTTCGCTTCTGCCAGAAGCCAGAAGTCCCTTCCGACCACATCCGTAGTCAAAGCCTTGTTTTCATGATGCGATAAAGATGGCGGAGGCGGAGGACGATGCATTGTGCGCGAGGGGAGCGACTTTGAGCTGGTTTCTTTCCGCGACTGTGATTCTTGTTCTTTGGTGCTCCAAATCACACGAGTCTGAGAGCCCGTGCATTTTTTTCGCGATTGTTAGAGTTTGGGTCATCTGCCCCCCGTGATTGAAAGCTCTTTTGCTTTTGACATTCTATATTTAACTGGCCGTCCGCCTGTATGGCAAGTGTCTCCGAACAATTGCTCCTCCAAAAACAGGGAATATGCGAAAACATGTTTTAAACCCAGGCCTTTGTAGTTTTGGGGCGCCAAAAGGGAAAGCCTCGGAAGACAGGATGCAAGTCCGGCTTCGTTCGGTTTCATTCAGTCCTTTTGAGTCGTAGTCTGGTTGCTGCTTATACTTGCTTCATCTTGCTGTTGTCGGCCGGTACCCCTGGCCGGGTTCCCTGGGAGGAAGAACTTAGGCTGGCTACGGCGTGTATGACCTGGGGTTTGTGTTAGGAAATCTCAACGTCCTTCCCCCGGGCTGTGCTAATAGTGGCCCCACCGCCACGTTGCTCCCCATGCTCCCCGTACGATGTACAGTTGTTTGAAATTATCAATCCTACGTGCAATCCTAAGTTCACATCGTGGACACAACGTTTTCCATTTCTGGGCGTATGCCTCCAGGGGGTAGTCATTCGCTTGGTACCTCCTGGCTACTTCTTGGTTTAAGACTCCTGGATCTTGTACCTCTGTTCACGTAACGTCCATTACATATGGCCCAATTCCAACTGAGCTAAATACTGACAATGATAACAAGTCAAACAAAGGCATATCGCAATACCGCTGCAAAGCAAAAGCCAAAACTGACATACGCCAAGCACATCTCAATGGCACAAGTCTGCAAGTAGCAACACCAGATCGACAACACGGAGGAGTGTTCCGCCCGCCCCTGGCTGAGCCGAGGTGCGCGACATAGTAAGCAACTGAGGAGTACCGGATCGCTGCGGGTGGTGTTTGGGGAAGTCGCCGGGCCAGCCAAAAGCGAAAGATAAAAGGCAGGGAAGGCAGCAACAGGTATTTGACCCCAAGCATGGCCTCTGATATCTGCTCAGCTCCTCTATCAAGCCGACATTACGCTTGAGGAATAGCTTTCCATCCTGTCTGACAAGCAGCCGCAGGTAGTAATTAGCAAATGTTTAAAAACTTCAACCCAGTGCCTGGCAGGGCATCCGTACAGGCAACCAGCCAATAAAAGGCACGCGTGGGAATCCATCAGCGAGCAAAAACTAAAAAAAGCAAATATACAAAGCACGGCCATAAGGGCTGTAGAACAGCCGGCCAGGACGATTGTACTGCGTACGAAAACATGGACGACGGTACATCGCGCTAATGCCGACCGAGCCCGCTGCCAACCAAGTGCAGCAGCCTGTCTTGTCTTCAACATGATAAGACATGAATTCATGGCGCACATGCGGGTGAAGCCCCAAATGCTTGCGAGTGGAGACAGCTAGCCTAAAAACCAACGGGGCCGGCAATATAATTTGCCAGAGACGATTGCCCAACAATGGGAGGCGGGGAACACAACCTGGAAACCCCAAGGGTGCACAGCACGTGACGCGCCGCTGCCGAAGGACACCGAGTCTAGCCTCCTTCCCCGGGGCGAGACGGTGGCTTTTCTCTTCCGCCTCCCCGCCGCCACCCCTGGTGCCAATGTGAGCACTCTTGAGGCGCGGGACGGAGAGGGGGCTGCCCAACAGCGGCAGGCATGCTGCACCAGCGATTCAGTACCAGCAATCCGAATCGACCTGGGGTGCCACAGGCTTCTGAGCTGTGAATCCCGCGTTTTCCCCGCTTGCGAAACCAATCACCCAGCTAACGAGTGCACCAATATCGTCATCTCCGACATAAAACACGCCCCACGACCGTCCATAATACATACATACATAGGCACACTTCCGTACTAGCAGCACAAACATTTTGGGAAGGGAAAGATCCTGCACTCATGACATGGGCCGTCCTCATAGTCTGGGATGAGAGCCCATGTGATCCCCAGCAACAACCCGCGTGTTTAGACGGGCCGAGCCTGAAATGGCTTTTGCTGCGCCCCGGCATCCCGTGTGTGCTTAACATGCTGTAATTTGATTAAACACCAAGCAATCTGAACCCGCGAGCCCCCACCCGGCGTCACCGCCAACACAAATGTCAGGCTAGCAGGCGACTGCGGCGCGACAGCAACAAAGCCTAAAGCACTAAGGTAGTCAATTTTTTTGATTCCTCTTCCCAGCGCTAACCAGCGCCACTGATGAAAAGACGATATTAAAGGACAACAAACCATCAAACGTAATGGTAAGGAAGTGCATTTCAAGGGAATTGCCAAATAGGGGTCAACCTGGCTGTCCAGCCGCAGCCGAAGGGCTCTTCAAACCACCAAACCATGCAGGGCATGAGACAGGGAAAAGAACATGCTGGTGCACGGTACGACAATACACCATGGCACCGGCCCCATCTCCGGATGCTCACAAAGGGAGGCACAAGCGCTGGTGGGTGCGCCATACGCCGTACGGCTGCACAACCAATCATCGGTCGTGCGAAGGGACCTCCTGGGGTCGTTTTCCCCCACTGGCTGCACCAAACACAACATGCGGCAACAAGCTATGACTAAGGCAATCTGGTTGACTTAATAGATTCCTGTGAGGCGAGACGTGCACAGGCGAGACAGACCGGCAAACGGTGTAGACAGCCGAATCAGCAAACAGCCCTCCGCACTTTTGCTGCTGCTCACCTATCGGCAGTCAGGGAGCAAGTGTACACCCACACAGCGACCAGCCGCCAGGCCTCAGACCCCGAAGACTCCTATAGGGCTCAGCGCCATCCAGCTTGCATCCCCAATCGGCCGAAACGACCCTTGGAAGGATGAATAATCCGCTCGGGTGCCTCAAACGCATTTGTCCTTCCGGTTCTACCGTCCCAGTGGAGCCAAGCCGCCACCGTTGTGCGCGCTCCCCCTCCCTGCCCCTGCCTGCCCCCACGTAATCGCCCACTGTGGATTGACGAATTCTCCACCGGTGGGATGAGCGGGCATGAGCCTACGTGACGCCGCCCCGCTTGTCGTCTTCTCATGTTGAGCATATCATCAACATAAATACCCATACGCCCGAGTAAACCATAAAGCAGCCGGAGGTCGTGTGCGGCTCCCGCGAACGCGATAATGTGTGGGGGGGGGCCCTACCAGGGCGCAAAGCATCCGGGCATCCCGCTCTGCGGTATATCTTAATCGTCTTGGCAACCTAGCCAAGACAGGGCTCCCCTAGTACAAATTAGGTTAGTCCCTCGATCTCAATCATCTGAATGACAAATCTCCCCTCCCTCACCATTCTGTCGAATTTCGCATGATCCTCTTCTCATCATCATCATGATTATGATCCGCTATCGGCGATTATCCTCTCCAAGCGGCCTAGAGGTATCTTTCCGTCCAAACAGATCTCTCCAGCCATCTCTCTCCTTTTCCTTCCCCGCCGCACCAGCACCAGCACCAGCCACTGCACGACCGCCGCACCGGCCACTAACGGCTAGAGCGCGACGCGCCCCCTTTCAATTCGTCAAGGCACCCCGCCCCAGCACGCTACATACCCAGGGTTTCAACGATCTCCACCATAATCGTATATTGCCGCATATTGCCCTCCTCAGCGAAAAAAACATAAATCAGAGAATTCCCAATGCAGTGTTACTTCGCGGTCTCCAACGGTTAAGACAACGAGCAGCGCACAAAAGGGAGGAAGAAGGCGCGACAATAAAGCCGGCAAGTTGGAAACTCCCCTTGGGAACGTCCCACACACCACGTCACCTGCACAATGGTGTCAGGGGCGGCGTGGCGGCGACACGAACGCGCCTCCTCTTCTCTCCTCTTCCTCCTCCGGCAGCATGAAGCCATCGGACGCTACTCCAGACGCCGCAAAGGGATCCACGAACTGCACCACAATATGCGACCGTTCGTCGTCATCGGCGTCGCAATAATCGCAGCAGAATTGGAGAAACGTTAACAGCTACACGCAACGCCTCGGCGGCGCCGTGCTTGAGCAACCAAACGCCAAACACAAAAGAGGCAGAAGCAGAAGCAGAAGCAGCAGTAGTAGTAGACGCAACCACGTACCAAACAAAGACAGGGGCGGAGGGAAGGCTGCAGCAAGGATACGAATGAGGAATGAGACCTTGCTCCAGACTCCTCCCCCCTCCTTCAACAGCCTCAAAACCAGCACATAACCACACGCGCCAGGTCATCCATCCAGCGGCCATCCGGGACCAGACCAAACGAAAGCCATCCGCGTAAGGCCCCATCTCTCCGAAACCAACGCGTCTCCTTCAATCACAAATGGACGACGAGGACGACTTCAACACAACATTAGTGCATCATCACCAAAAACTATATCTCACGTAGGGAACACATTACCCACCTAGGAAGCCCGAACCATCTAAACGGGATGCTCTACATGCTGTTTGGCACACAGCCCTATCGGCGTGCATTTGCAGTTTAATTTCGGGCAACCCCACACCATCAGAGGAGTCCTATACTCCAACCGGGAATCCCTGGGGTAGCGGCTTCAACCACTGTGTGTCCTGCCCTCGGCACGAAACGTCCTCACCTCCAAAAGGTCCTTCCCTCACCCCCGGGCACAAAACATTCATCGACTCGAAAGCTGGGCCTCGTGCGGGCCTCATGCCAATGTGCAGAGAGCCCCAAGGTGCCAATGGAGCATTTAAACGCAATTACAACACTTTGCCGCGCCGCAACAGAGACACGCAAAACACACATACATACAGACGGACAGATAGATAGACAACACCTACTACTTGCCAGAACGTGAACGTAGACCAGACCGCCATTAACATCCTTAGAACGGAGAGGTGCCGGGGAAAGCGGGGGGGGGGGAGAAAAGCGCAGCAGACAACGTCCGCCCGCCCACATACCCCAAGTGCAAAGACGCCCCAGGCCCGCGCGGTGGCGTTTCCGATGATTGCCTAGATAATCGCCCGACGCAAAAATTCCCTGACCTGGCCACAAACCTCTCCTCAGTTGCCGTACTGTACTGCTGCTGTGTGTGCCAGGACCCCATCCCTACGTGCCCGATCCTCCCGGAGTGCCACCTCTCAGCTTGGACAGCTTGGACGCAGCTTGTGACCGGGATTTCCGACGCAACAGGATGCAGGAGGAGCCGCGGCGGAAAGCCCCGAATCCTCGCGTCCTTCACAACAAACTGCCCAACCCAGGATATGGTAGGATGGGTTGGGTTCATCTCACCTGTGCCGTTCTCCGCCCACGCAGCCCGCGCCGACGTCCCACTCCGCGCAGCGGCAGGAAACACAAAACGCAAAACACCGCGGGATGATGCCGACGACCTTGCCAGAGCCAGTCAGCGCCGCCGCAGCGGCGAACACCCCCTCCTAGCACGTCATATGCCTTTTCCTCGTGCCCCACCTTCGCTAATGCCAACCCCCAACGTTCTTGCGAATGCGTTTTATGCTGGCAATATTTTGCTGGCTGATTTATGACACAGACACACACATATACCAGTAATGAAGGGCCACGCCAGCACTACCACCTACCATCATCTAACTGGCCAGAACCCCCTCAGCACGGCCCAAATCGAGTGCGTGGGATCTTGACGTTACTCGAGTGCGGAACAGAATACACATCGACACATTCGCCAACTTTGCGCCACCGGGCTTTAAAATTAAGTGCGCGACTGCGAATCGAACACGGGTACACGGGGGATGGGGCTCTGGAATGCCGATTGGGTGGGGCTAAATGGGCGGATAGATAGACGGGCCGTTTTTAAGAGGCGGACGACGAAAGCCCTCCGAAACCACGAAAGGAACAAAAGATGTCAGCAGAGTGAGGCTGTGAGGGGTAGGGGCGAGGAAACAGACTGTGAGCTTTCCCCCTTCGCTGCTGAATCCATCTCCCCCCCCCTCAGAGGCTTCACGCATATAAAGCGTCAATGGACCTGCGAACATGCAAGACCACCCAAAGTGCGCATGAAACAAATCTCCCATTGCGAGAGCGCTGCTCGAACACATTGCCTGTGTAGCTAGAAAAAGCCATTATGGCATATAGAGCCCCTAAGACCTTCCTTTGATGCGACTGGTAGCGAACAAATCGACGCGCAACGCATCCCACAGCACCGTGCGCCGACCAGGGAAGCCGGGAGCCCGCAGGACGCCAAAAACAACCAGACGGGGCGCCAAGGCACAGCCACGGCCAGACCGCGCCGCGCTCCTTTTTGAGCCTTGAGTGCTGGCCAATGGCCCACCCACTGCAAGACGGGAGCTGCAGCCGCCTCTCTCATACCTCCGCCTGCGCCCCGCCCATCGCCACCATTAGGTGTTGTTGCGCAGTGTCGTACATGCCGCCGCCAGGTCCGTACATGCCTGTATGTATCAGTGCCGGGTGCGGGGCGGCGGAAGCCACGTACTGCACGGGGCCGTGGCCGATGCCGGCGGCAGCGGCTGCGGCGGCAGCGGCTGCCGCGCCGCTGGCCATGTTGATTCCACCGATGCCAATCCCAATGCCCAGGTGCTGCTGTCTCTGCTGCTGCTGCTGCTGCTGCTGCTGTTGTTGAATATTGAGGGCAGCCAACTGGGCCGCCAGCAGCGATGGATCCGCAGGATTGTTGGCGCCCAGGTGCGCGGCGGCGGCAGCGGCAGCAGCGTGCATTTGCATGTGGGCGTGCAGAGGCGCCACGTGGTTGCCAAATGGCGAGGCCGCAGGGTTAGCGAACGGGACGGTGGAGAAGGCACCGGGGGAAGTGGCGCTGTTGGCGGCGGCGGCGGCGGCTGCCGCCGCTGCGGCGGCGGCTACCTGCAGCCGCTGCCCATTCGCGCTGCTATTGAAATTGGCGGCGGCCCGGCTGCCTGCGGTGCCCGCGGCGGCGGCGGCTGCCTGAATGATTCCAGCACCGTTGCCGGCGGCCGCTACCGCTGCATGGTTCCGGAGCGCGGCGGCGCCATCTTGCGGTCCAAATGCGCCGAGATGGCCGCCTGCAATTCCCAGCGCGCTGTTCTGTGCCTGTAGCAGGGAGGGAACGAGGACACGACGCAATCGTAAGAATGCCCGAAACAGTGAATCTTCCTAGTCACCACGAGCGGGGATAATGACATGAGACGGACATCACCAACAGCAACACAACATTCCATTACCAAGCTGCAGACTCATTGCCCAAAGCATAGGAACATTCCTTTCAGATTTTTCAACAAATCTCCAACGTCCCCACCTGTTGCTGCTGTTGTTGGACTTGTTGGACTTGTTGCACCTGTTGTTGCTGTTGTTGCTGCTGCTGTTGCTGGCTCTGCAACGCAATTTTCTGTAGGTTGAGCATGGGGTTGTCCTTCGGATTGAGCCCGTGGCGCCGCGCAAAGGCGTTTGACATGCGCGGCGCAGTGAAGCCGAACATACTGGCAGCAGCGTTGGGCTGGGTAAGGTTCTGATTGCCCTTGCCACCCGACCCTGGCGTGCCACCCGCACCTGAAGAGCCTTTGCCTGGTTCAAGGATTCAAGGATGACAATTCATATCATTCAGGATTCAGGAAAAAATAAACAGCAGTTGTCCGCGTCCCAAGGATTTAGGCATCAGAGAATGTACTTGGGGGTTCGGGGGGGTGTAGAGCAAGCGCGCCTGCATGCGCCTCAACATGCCCGGTGGCAACGAAAGAGGGTAAACTATATCATAGATCATAGATCAAGGGACAATCACCCTCCAAGGAACATCGGCTGTGGAATAGAAAAATCTGGCTCATGGAAAGAAACCGTGTCGTCGTGAGAGCCGTTAAGGAGCGAGCCGGAGGTGAAAGCGATGGACGGAAGGTTGCGGGCCCCGCCTTGTCCTTCACTCCCTTTGGGGCGGTGTCCTTCACGAAAAGCGCAACTAGGAACTAGGAACTAGGAACTAGGAACTAGGCTTCAGCCATCAAGGGTGGGAATCGTTTCAAGCCTCAGCCCTTCCAGGCGGCGGCGGCGGAAGGGCTGCGGTGGGAGATTTGCACATCTGCGCTGATGTCAATGATGATGTTACACATGACGTGGAAACGGCAACAACATGAATGGAGTTAACACACGCCATCCGCTCAGGCCCTCGCCTTCGCTAAGCCCAACCTCCGTCTGAGGAGGAGGGACTGACTTTGAGTGGCTGGCTCACCTTCCTTGCCGCCGCCGCCGCCGTTGGCTGTCGCTGCCGGCACCACAGCCAGGATGCCGCCTGCCACTACCCCGTTACCGTTACCGTTACCGTTGGCGCAACCGCCGTCCTTGGAGCCGATTGAACACGAGGGCGAGGGCGAGCCGTTGGCACCGCTGCTGCATGAGCTGCTGCTGGTCCCAACCGCCAAACCGTTGCCATTACCGTTGCATGCCGACGTCATCATGACCATACCCCCACACCCCGACCCAACCAACCCGGAACCTGGCCCCATCCCCAGTTGGAGTTGTTGCAGCATGCCACTGCCGCTGCCATTCAGGGTTCTCGGAGAGCCGCAAGATGGGCCAATACCGGATGACGTGCCGTCCGAAGAAGTGCTCGCCGGCTACGGAGGGCGTGGGTGAGGGAGTCGGGTCAGGTTAGATCAATGCGGGGACCTAGAAAAAGGGGAGAATGGGAGGAGCTTCTTCCCGGGCATTCTCCTCTACCCAATCCCTACTCTTCTTGCACAACTCGTGCTTTTTCCAAACCCCTAGGTGAACACTTCTACCCAAAGTGCTAAAGCCTTCTTCTCCCCGTCCCGCCCTGTCAGCTGACCGGATGGCCCAGGCCACACCAGCCGGTCCCTTACTGGCGGCGACAGTTGTCCCCTAACCCCTGACAATTACATTATTGCCGTTATTTTGATAATTATCATTATTTGTTCATATTTAATATGCTGCAAATTAAATTATTTATTACCTTATAATAAAAATTGTTGTCAATATTTGTTTGATCTTTAGATTAGTTCCCAAAAATGGAGGTGTTAGCGCGCACACACACATACACTGCCCAACCACACTTCCCAACCACGGCGCCCTCTGTCCAAGGTTCGCAGTTGATTTCCGGTTCAAGGTGGGCCCCCCTACCCCACTGCGTCCCCCCTACCCCACTGCGTCCCTCGTAACTGGCGACGTCCCTCGTGTAGTTCCACACACCCGCACAGCCCACCACTTGAGGCAGCAGGTCCCTTTCCTTCTCCTATCCCAAATCCCCTCCGCCCTCTCAAGCCTCCACCCGCCACAAGTAACTCCTGGGGGAAGCTCACCGGAAGTCCCGAGGATGCAGTGGACAGGAGAGACCGCCCCTCCGGCCCCGTAACGGCCATAGGGGAGCCCACTTGCACCGGAGGGGGGCCCCCAGCCACGGCGCCGTCAGCACCGCCGCCGAGCGCCATCGCCGAGGCGGCCGTCATGGAAGTGGAGCTTTGTAGCGCCGACGATGTACCCGACGATGCAGCAGTGGCGGCAGCAGCGGGCGGCTTGGCCAGGTCAGCTGGGCTGGGCACCCAAGTGTAGGTGGGCGCGCGCAGCTCCGGAAGACTGTGGGCGAAGAAGCACACTGGTCGGTGGCAGTTGGCGCCGTCCTTGCACAGCTGCGTGCGGTAGCGAGAGGGATGTAGCCAGCACTCGAACACGCCGTGCGCATACGGGCACACGTCACCGCGGATGCAGAAGCCCTGCGGAAGGAAGGAAGAGGCAGCAGATGAGAGAAGGGGAAAAGGGGATTACATGCAAAAAGCTAAAATGCAAAGATCAAACTGACCGAAAAGAGGGAGAGCATGTGAGTGCCACCTTGGTGAAGAGCGAGCGCAGACAACATTATATATCAGCTGTCGTCAGCTGTTATGTGAGGCCGGCGGACAACCGAGGCGCAACTTTACACATCAGCGCAACTTTCTCTACACATCGACCCTCCCCCTCTCCCTTCACCTTTTATTTCCTCCTCTTAACCCTCTCCCCTCAGCCAAAAAGCAGCACCCCCCAAACAACCTCTCCCCTCCAGAGAAACACCTATAAATTCCAGCACCTCTGAATCCAAGCACACTCCTCCCTGCAGCCCCCGGCGTCGCTCTCTCCCTCTCTCTCCCCCTCCTCCCCTCCACGCAGCTGCTGCCCTACCACACATCATGGCCTATGGCCCCCACGCCTCATGCCGTCGGCACTATGTCCTCAAACCACCGCACACTACCTGCTTGTAGTCTGGGCATGCGAGGGCACAGTACTTGAACTCCCGAGGGTCGCGGCGGCGGGCGTTCTCGGTTGGGTGCGCGAAGGGGCAGGCGCGCCAGTCGTGTGCGTGGCGCTTGGAACAGCGGAGAACCTGCGGTGCACGAGTGGTGCACGAGTGAGGAAGCCAAGAGGAGAGTAAAGACTCTGTGGAGGAGGGCGGGGCAGAAAGAGAGCGAGGAGAGGAGAGTGCATCTGCGTGTGTGTATGTCTCTGTGCGGGTTGATATGAACATAGGACGCGAAATGGGTGAGGGAGGGTGATCGTCGGTGAGGAGGCCGTAGAAGAAAGACGAGAGGAAAGCCGATCCCAGGTGGAGGGATGGAGCGATGAAGGGAGTCAACGGAGTTGCGGGAAGACAATCACAAAGAGTATTAAAGGACCCGTGATAGGCGGGTGTTTGGTTCCAGGCGCCATCACCATCACCACCATCACTGCCGTCATCATCACCTCACCATCATATCACCATCGCCACGTATTCCGCAATTCCAAGCCGCACCCGCGATACAGAGAAATGCTTCGATTCAAAAAGCCCAAAACCAAAAATGCAGGAAGGCACCGGGCCACGGTCCCGGACACGACGGCACACGGCCTGCACAGCCTGGAAGCTCTGAACCGCATCGGCGCTGCACATCATCATGCGCACGCACATGCCGCAAAACAACGTTAGGACATTGTACGGTCAAAATAATTACCTTGAAGTTAAACATGCGGAAATCGTCGGTTGAGTACTCGGGACGAGTAAGATCCGTCGTACTGTACGACGATCCCTCCGAGTCCGCCACTGAATCCTGCGCACCCTGGAGAGCCAACGGTGTGATGCGATATCGGTGCGTATGCGCGTCTTCAAGCCTTGATGGGTCTTTTGATCGGAAGAGCATACAGACCATGTTAAGGACTGGAACGTGGGGGCATGTGTCATGTCACAGATGTAACGCCTTGATTTTGCCCAGGTCACCAAAGGCTGCCGTTTGCTAGGATGCATAACGTTGTTGTCCTAGCGGCGTTGTTGATTTGCCAAGGAAAAGCCTTCTAGGATCCGTCCCCACTTTTTTACGCCTAAAAACGAAACCAGTTCTGCAACCGCGCAGGATTGGGTAAGACATCGTACAACACAAAAATGCTTTTCCCATATCCCTATGGCGACTGTAGGAAACAGCCTCACGGCATGCCATCTGAGCGGATGGATCGCAGAAGCTCACGAAACACCAGGGTTAACTGCAACGCAGTACCTTCCGTACCCATGTTGCTGTGCGAGACTACTTGCCTGCCTGTTGACTCCCCGCACTGCATCCGTCCCCGTAAAGCTTTGCGTCTCTGTTGTTGAGCTGCTCCGGGTACTTGATGAGGGATGCGAGTCTGCGTCTCGCATCATGGCCAGCGCAGTGGCGGCCTGTGAAGACTCTCCCGCAACGGCCAGCTGCGATCGGGTGAATACATACGGAAAATAGAAAAGCACCGTTTGTACCTTCGAAAACTTTCTTCACGTGAAGACGAAAGGACAGGGTAAGCTTCTTACCGCCTGTATGCCGCGCATCCAGCTTATACACGCAATGCTCATGTGACAAAGACTTCAAACGAATGCTAAGGGAGGAGGGAACTGAAACAGAAACATAATTAGCTTCCGTAGCGTCACCATAAAGCACATTGTCGAAAGCTGCCATAGTATGAGCCACCCCCGAACGGCGTATATCCGCATACGACACGCGCAAAAGAATTAAACTACTTACATCGTAAGCAGTAAGGCCATCCGCGCTCTTGCGGCTTGGCTCAGCGCCGCGGGCCAGCAAATATGCAAGGACTCGTAGCGAGCCAGCATGCGCTGCTATCATGAGCAACGTGCGTTGCTTGACCATGACGGAGGTCTTGGCCGCAGCTCCATTTGCATCCAGAGCTCCATTTGCATCCCCACTCCAGTGCAGAATGAGGAAAAACTGGTGAAGTTTACTGGCGTCAGCCTCTATGGCTGCCTCTACATTCGAAAGCTTGTCCGAAACAACATCCTGAAAGAGAACGGTGCTTTCATTCTTCAAGGGCGTTGCGGGACCTCCATTGGAGGCAATTAGATAATGGCCTATCACCTCACTCTCCATTATCTTGAGAAAAATATCATTGTATGAAAGCGAAGATGAAACTCAAGGGTGAAGGACGGGATGGAAAGCATCCTGATTGCAAACCGATTTGGTTTCGATCCTCTGTACGGGGCTCCATATAATGTTACACCCAATCATCACTGTGCACCCTCGAAAGACTACGATTTTCCCTCCGATGGATTCAATTTTGTATAATTGTTTTGTTTGAATAAATTAACATCCGTTTCACCGCTAAGGCACGTCCTGGTCTTGCTGAGCTGCCCCCGCCTCAGCCCGCGCTGCGCTGCCGAACGCATTGCCACAGGGGAACCTACGTCGCAAGGTAAATCTCCATAAATAAACACGGCAGGAATGCAATTTCGATTGTAGAGAGGCGCCAATCATCAAGGCGCCTCAGATCGTCAGAGCACGTCCAACCTTCCGCGGAACCACCTGGTGCCCATGCAGGATGACACTGCCCTTCCCGGCATTCAGCTAGCTTGTCAAGTTTCATGAGCAGGCCAAAAAACTATAAGCGATGGTCTGCAGAATTCTGCGATGAGAAGAATTTGAAAAGCATGTTTCAAAAGAGCTGCTTTAACGAGGGAATGTGTCGCATGCGTTGAACATCACTCCACGCCGGTATACTTTCGAATCACGCTACCGGACTATAGATTATTTTTCCCGTTGCGCTGTGATTTGGCAGTAGTTATTACCAACGCCACAAAAGGTGTACGCGGAGCTTCCTGCAACCCGCTCGCATGAGAGTTTGCGCATTTATCAGGGGATCACGTGTTTCCATTCACTCCACCACAACGAGGGTTTGGGCTTGAAGGTTGGCCTGAGGCGCCCTCGCTTACCCAGCAAACCATCCCACCCAACGAACTACCCGAGTAGAGCAACGGAAGCCTCTTAAAGGGCACAGCAGCAGCTCGTCACCGCTGAACCAGTATGTCATCAAAGATTTATCCTGGTCCACAGAAATGAAATTAGCTACGTAATCCAGGAATCCGCATAGCGAAGCTCGGCAGATGACATCATTCTCCCAAGCCTTGTGGAAAGGTGTTGAGGGCCTACCCGGCTAGCATGTTGGATACCGCGGATACCGTTGGCACCCGAACCGTTCGGGCCGCCTATCAGGCGGTCAGGTTCACCACCACATTCTTCCAGCGGCGTCATAGTCAGGGGGTCTCTGTCGGCCTACATGCTCGCTAAGCCACCATCGGCACATCCCGTGCAGGTTCAGGCCATGGAGGTGGTCGAGGCGTCAACGCCAGAATCAGAACCGAGCAGGGACGCTTTAGGTGTTGCTAATCAAAGGGGCTAATTAAAAACGCCGTGGCTGCTCCGACAAAGCTGGCACGGGGACAGTGTTTGTGACAGGAGGTGACGGGGACAGACTTTCTTCTAGTTCTTGGGACATGCTTAAACTCCCACCCATGCATCGTGCAATCTTGTCCAAATGCTGGGCTCGGCAAACATATGCGTGTCGTGGCTGTCTCATCACGTGCATACATGCGCAAACCTCTATAATCGACCTATGTTTTGGTAATTGGTATCCGCACAACACCACGGTTGCTGTGCCACAGACTTAGGCTTTTTTTATCCTGCAACCCTGCTGGAACGAGCGTCTTCGGCGAAGTCCTGTACTGCATTTTCATTTGCAAATCACCTACGGTAGCCATTTTTTGTCATTTTACTACATACGTACGGCAAGTTTTAGTTGGACGTGCGGCCTTGGGACTCCTCATGCCTTCGCTTCCTTGGCGGGGCTGGACGGGGTTGCGGCAGCCCGCTTGGGCCTTGCACGTCATGCAAGCACGATGTGGCGATCGTTAGAGAGTGACGGTATCAGCCCAAAGACGGCACTGTATCGTGGCTAAACGCCGAGGCGGGCGAACGCTACAAAGAAGGTTGAGTGTGTACGGCTTTCGTACGGGCTTTGTTTTAACTCCGAAAATTTCCGCAAGTGTAGTTTTCTTAGCCGCTTTTAAAGGGTCGTGTAGGACACAATGATGCAGCGTTTGGTCTCAAGTCTGTTGCCACGGACGCCAATAGGCTCCGCTTGCTACGCCACTGCGGTGTCCGATTACGGTGTTGCGCTCAAGAAGGCAGCAGAGCTTATCACACCAGCTGATGCGTCCATTCAGCCAAAAGAAGCAGGCTACACGACCGGTGTTCCACTGAGCACTTTTTCGCGGAATGTGAGCAAAGTGAAACAATCACGGCGTTTATATAACAGAGAATATATAAAACTTCCTGTCTTTTTGCAGGCGCGTATCTATTGCCCTGCGCGAACTCCTTGCCAATCGGGGCTTGGCAGGACTGTTGACAACGCCAGCACCACACCAGTTTGGAAGATTGAATTCGAAACACTGTCGAAGTGAGAAGCTGGGCGCACCTATCATCGTGTACTGGCTGGATAAAGACCTGTTCGGTAGTCAGTGCTGATGCGTCCAACGGGCCGGTTCGACGCAGGTGGACAAACCCTTTGATGGGATGGACGTCGACTGCGGACCCACTGGAGAACGTCGGGCGGGCGACGCTGGCGTTCCACACCAAGGAGGAAGCACAGCGTTTCTGTGAGAAGCACGGTTGGAGCTACACCGTGGACGTGCCCAACATCCGCCGCACTGTGCGTCAAAAGCGCTACGCCGGCTACGGTGACAACTTCGGGTAAGGGGCACGTGTGTGCGCACGGAGAACACATGCCGTACGGCTTTTTCCCAGTCAGTTGCAAAATGCAGTCACCCACAGGGCGAGCAGTGGGCGCGAAGCACCGCTGCGCACGCAATGGCTGTCGGCCCGAACTGCAAACCAAGGACGTGTATCAGATTAGGCTACCGCACGTGCATCCGGGGTTGCGTGTGTTCAGGGCCATGTGGGTTGATCCTCGAAGTCTGCAACTCTCCTTCCACACACCCCGGGGCCCTGAAACTGGGTAGAAAGTATGCGGTACTGCGTGTTCAGGTTCAGGTTCGATTCTTGGGGGGCCCCGCGGAGCAGGATGTGAGATGGCTAGGGATACCTCCTCCCCGCCTAATTGCACGGGTTACTAACTGAAGCCTAACTGTTCCGCTGTACCTGCAAAACGCTCGGGCATGTCCGCAGTATCAAACGCAATGGCGTCCCTGACCTGTCTACGCTTCGCTCGAACCGCTGAGGGCCGCTAGGCACGGCGACCGCGTTTGCAGCCTTCCGGGCCGGCAGCATCCATCGCGCTGACAGTGAGAGGAGCCGCGGATGGAGCAGGGTGGTTGTGGAGGCGAAGAGCAGGGTTATAACAAATTTGTTTTTTAGGAGCGAAGGGGTGAACCCCCGAGGTCCTCAGCTTACTCCCGTGACGTCGTGTCCAGAGCGGCTTTATGGCTTATTGAAGGAAAAGAATAGTGGTTTGCTCAAGCAGGCTAAGGGTATTCGGTGAATTCACTTTGCTGTGAGCATGGAACCTGTGACGTGGTGCGCGACACGTGTTATGATAGCCCGCGCGTGTTCAAATAGGCGTGAGAGGCGGACACGTGGGTCGGCAAGTGATTACGGTTGAGCTTGAGAGGTTTGCCTTGTGAGTTTTAATAGCTGCGTTATCTTGGGATGTCTGCGTTATCGTGATATGGGGAACGTGTGGGACAGGGCTGTTAAAGATAATGCAGGTCCGCGAGTGGACGCATGGGCAGGCCAGAGATTTCCAGGGGTGGGGTCGTCTTCTACCTGCGCTGCTATTTAAATTGTAGTAGCTGGCATTGGCCCGCACCGAGACCGGCGTGTTGCCCAACCTGGAATGCCCTCTTCTCTTGTTTAGTGATAACAAAAATCAGATGACACGCACATCGCCAATCTTTCGAGTGTTGTCTGTGTTGTCGACTGTCTCGACAATCATCGCACGCACGTCACGCGACTCTTCTAACCATCCTCCTCAACTCTGGACAGGTCTACACTACCTTGCGCTCCGCTGTCGTACGTACGACACTTTGAAAATTTAGACTACTACAACACGATGAGAGCGTCACAGCAGCCCCCATGCAGGCTGTTATGCCGAGCTACGGAAGGAAGACTTTGTTAAGCAAATTCACATGGGCATATGTATTTCCGCGGCACATGACCAAAACATCTATAGACCTTACTCTACGGCCGTGAGTGAGAGTAAGCTGTAAGACCGCATGACAGTACCGTCGCCTAATCATCGGCGCAGCAGCAGGTAGTCAAGCAGACTCGTAATACTATAGTCAATGTGGTCACGTTAGGTGGATTTGGGACACGACGTGGACGCATAAACTCTCACCACTCACACATAGACAAACGACAATGAAGAATCTGAAGAAGAGTCACGTCCCCTAACCCTGCCCTATAACCACCGTTCTACGGTTTGACGTCAACCGCAGCTCTATAATTAGTTCAGTAATGGTGAATCTGCGGTTTTGCGGTCGTGGGTGGGTCACTTAGGAACAAAGCACTAGGGCGACGCAGAGCTGATTCGGAACCTACAAAAGGCCGTCACTCGTGTTAGCGGTGGTGTGGGGCCCCTTAGTCAGTTGTGTTGCAGCCGGCCGCACAGCCGCTGCCTTCTGCCGCCGCTGCACGTCGCAACAAACCGACAACGAACTGACAACAACGAACAAAGCAGCTAGTCGTCACCGCAACACGTGACGCGACGTGACGCGCAAAGCAAAGGCTAGGACCCTCCAGGCCAAATCTGAACTCCATCCGCTGGGCGAAATTGGGGAGCACCCCGCCTGCTAGGCTCTTTGTCCCCTCTCCTGCCGTAGAATACATTTGCACTGCTAACGAGCTACTTGCTGCTCCCGCTTCCTATCACTGGCGCAATGAAGGAAAAGCTGCTTCACCGCTGCCGCGATACCCTGCGTTCTTGGTCCATGCAAACCGACCCATTGCGTGGGTGGATAAAAGTCTACTCAGCGTCTCTTTATTCCTTTCTGTATCTAAACCCCTGCAGCATGCATGAAAACAAGCCTGAGACTGCGCCTGCACCAAAAACTCCAAGGCTGGGGAAAGAGCCCCTCCGAGCTGCTCGCAACCTGCGCTACCCAGAGCTTTCCCTCCACATAAAATAGAATAGCGGCGACGGACGCGGGTCGCTTAGCAACAAAAGACATCCTACACCTCCGCACCGCACCGACCTAAACACGCTCACCACCACGCTGACGCTCCTGATCCGACGCACTCCGAGCACCGCCCAACACGCATCACATCGCATCCTCCGAGTCCACGACGCTCATTACCTTTCCACAGCTGTCCGACCCTCCTAGCATACAAGCCCTCCGTACAGGATCTCAAAGAGGTGGTCCCGCGCTCCCTGCCTCACGGAGTGGCTGCCGCCGGTTGCACATCGGCTGCACCGCAGGCCACCGCCGCACGGGCAGCCTCCCCGAGCGAATCCCCAGCACAAGGCTCCCCAGCTGCAACGTCCCGCGCCTGCTGGCGCGCCGCGGCGGCCTCCGCACAGTCCTGAGGACATCAGCCCAGGGCACATCCAGGGGTGGACATGGTGGCAACAGCCGGGGTGATGCCGATTGAAATCCTTTGATGATCCTTTGAATCTTTGGACGTTGGACGTTGTGACAGGGATGGTGCAGTAGAGCATCACGCAATCAACGTTACATCTCCTCAACGTCAAAACCTCATCGCGCTTGGTAGCGTTACAGCAGCGTTCACTCCAAGGGTCGGGGACCCTTGCGTAAAACGAGGAAAAAACGGCGACAGGATGCCGAAGAGGATATGGTAGGGTTGCGCGAGGAGGTCAAGGTCAAGAGATACTCATCTTATTCTATCCAATCACATTCTAAAATGCTACCACAGGCCCCCGCACGCTAGAGCGAACCACCAGCCCACCAGTCAGCTGTCCCGGTTCCCCACCCGCCCCCGCTGTAGTAGCTGGTACACAGTACGGCTCTACAAATACGCGCGAAGCGCGATACCACCAGCATCTCGAGAGGCCTTTTCACAGCGGCCAGCTACTGCACCCGCTCCCCAACCTCTACCGTGCGTACGTGCGTACGTACGTACCGCAATGAGCATGTCGTAGTACAGCAGCGAGGACTCAGCATGCGGCAGCAACTCCGAAATGAAGTCCCGAAACTGACGTGAGCCGGCTCCCAACAGGCTCGGCATTTTCATGGCCTTGATGCAATCCTGGGCGCAGCGACAAAAGAGTGCGAGAAGGCAAACTTAACCACCATCGATGTCGACGGCGGTGCTCCACCAGGCCTATGCGAAAGGCTCCATGCATGGGCACGAAACCCAACAAACGTTTTGCACGTGCGCGCGCTTTCGGGAACCCTAACCCACCTGCAGCATGCCTTTCATGGCATTATGCGATGTCGCGACGTCCTCGGGCTCCAGGGATGCTGGATTGCTGGCCAGCACACCAGTGGCCTGAGAGAACAGTGAAGGAGCAGTGGAAGGGGAAACAGTATAATGATATAGATGATATAGATGATGGTGATGCAAAAAGAAACATAGGAACAACTGTTGACGTCCAAAGCCCCAACTGCTGGAGAGTCCGAAGCGAAGGGGCAGGGGGCGATGAGAGGAGATCAGCCGCCGACGCAGGCTCACAAAGGCGGACGTGGAGGAACGGGCCCGGACATCCACATCAACACAGACCCGGGATGGGCAGGGAAATATGCAGGCGCACACGCACACGTACACCTCGGGGGCTCAGTGGGGCATGTGCCCCGTAGCACTAACCCTTAAACCTGAACAGGACACGCAAAATGTGTTTATGTATATTCACCATACATAGGTACGTACGTACGTACGGGCAAAACCCAACCACCTGTCAGCCATTCAGTCAGTCAGTCGCACTCACCTTTGCCGCTGCCTCGACCCGCTTGTGGATGGTAATCGGCAGCCGCTCCTGCGGGGAGGGAGCGAAGGAAGGGGCACGAGCGAAGGAGCAGGTATGGTGTTGTGAAGGACAGGAGATGTCTGCATGCATGCCCGTACTGCTACTTGCTGAATGCACTTCAAAAAAACAGCACAAATTAATAACCCCGGCATTGCTGGAGTCTGCGCAGCTGGGTGCATAAAGCTATAAAAACTGCTGCAACGCTGCAAATCTTTGTATCCCGCCTGCATCGATGCCTGCACGAGGTCTTCCCCATTCTTTTTCCGTCCCTCCCTGTCCTCCTCCTCCTCCTCCTCCTCCTCCTCACATGCAGCTGCTTGCAGCGGGTGACTAGATCCGCGCACGTGGCGGCTGTGAAGGGCGGCAAGGCGAGCTCCAACTTGAAAAGCTCGCGTTCCCAAGCCTCGCCAAATATCTGAGTCGACCCCAAGGACGGATGGTGGGGGACGACGGAAGAAACAACTTTATCAAGGGTAGGTTAAGAGTAAGAGCCGGGGGGGCAGAGGAGAGGGGGCTGTTAACCTTGTTGCCAGGAGCAGGTGGGAGTGTCCGGTCCGGAAGGGGGCAGTTAGGCTGCATGGGGGCACAAGGAGGGCTGCATGGGTGCGCCCGCACGCGAGCGGGAGAGAGGTGAGGAAGAAGGCCTCCTGCAAGGCAAGTTAGCCAACATACTCACGGCACCCACGCCCAAGACATCCCCCGTGTTCTTGTGCTCCTCCCGCTTCCGCGCCAGCTGCGCCTCCATCCAAGTCACGTCGTATCCGTTCCCCCTGCCTTAAAAAAATCCACTTACAATGAAGGGGGCCTGATTCTCCTGGCTCATCACACCCACCGACTCCTATGCTGACCCATCAACCCCCCGGGCCCCGGCCCCGGCCCCTGCCGTACCTCCATAAGCGCCCCCTCTAGAAACGGTCCTACCACCGCTTCCAACGTCTGGCTGCCAGCCTCCACCATCAAGGCCCAGGTGCTGCAGCTGTCAGTGCCTGAAGGGCGATCGTGAGAGCGAAGCGGTGGTGGTGGTGGTGGTGGTGGCGGAGAAGAAGGGGGAAAGACAAATCGCTGACGATTGAGGCAGATACCAGAGATAGACGGATTTATAAAAAAAAGAAGGGGGAAAAGATGAACCACGAGCGAATGAAGCTGCTGCCAAGGGGGAAAGGAGCCACCACGCGAGCCGGAAGCTACCCAAACGCGGACGATACACAACGTTCACGAAAGGGCGGGCGCTGTTGGACCCTCTCCCTGGTTGTCGGGAAAGACGACGTGACCCAGATGGAAACACCGGACAAGAGGATGAGGATATGCTTGCAACCAGTACGTAGCGCGTCGTGCGGGACGAAAAAGCAACGATGACGAAATTTAGCCAGTCACGCCTAAATCGAGGCCTAAATGCCCTTCCGGAAGATGGGCTGTGTAATCAAGATGAGGATGAGCAGTAGACATGTGGAGTTAGGTACGTGTGTAAAACATGGGCTCGTAGGCATGGAGGCAGAGGCATGGATTCAGCTAGGAATCCAGATCTAGGAATTCAGATCGACCGGATCCAGATCTAGGAATTCAGATCGACCGGATCCAGAGCGGCCAAAAAAAGTCATCGCGGATTGCGGGTACACCGTTTCATGGACGAGCGGGCACTCACGCGTCCGGGGTGGTTGCGGGAAGGCTGGCGTGATGAAGTGGGAGTTATTGGCCGCGTCGGCATCCGCGTCGGTGACCGATTGGCCTTGCTGGTCGACCGTTCCGACGTTTGACAAGTACGGCGCCCGGAGCCTGCCGTTCAAGGCAGCGCCGGGTGCAGTCGCCGGCGCCGCCGCCGCAGCAACAGCGGAAGAGGAGCCGCCGCTGGTATATCGCAAGCCAGCCGTGCCGCTAGCGCCGCTAGGTGGCCTTCCTCCGAGGCTCATGCCGTTGCTGTTCAGATATCGTGCAGCGCCGGCCCCGCCGGCGGCGCCCCCGCCGCTGCCACTGCCGCTGCTACCTGTGCGTCCGCTCACGACGTTGCTACCTCCACCGCCGGACCGCTCGGTACTTCGCTGTCGTCCACCGCTGCCCCCGCCGCCGCCGCTGCCGCCACCGCTGCCCCCGCCGCCGCTGCCGTTGCTCAGGCGCGATAGGCTTCGACGAAGGCCGCTGGCATTGCCGCGGCTGCTCCCTGCGCTCGGAGGCCGGGGGAAGCCGCCGCCGCTATGTCCACCGCCGCTGATGCCGCCGCCACCGTTGTGCCGCCCCACGGGAGCACTCCATTTCGTGCCGCGCTCTGTGACTGATCCACGGTGAAAAGCCTCCGGCTGATGCCGTTGCTGCTCGTAGCCTTGCCGCTGGTGGTTGTTGGTGGTGTATGGCGCCCGGGACGTCTTTGGCTCGGCCCAGCCTTGATAGCCGTAGATGGGCCCTTGGGGACCTGTGTAACCTCTGCTGCCATCCTCACGGTAGGCGTGGTGCTGCCGGAGGCTTAGCGGCGGCATGTCGAATCGCTGTCCGCGATCGTCATAGCTGAATTGCTGAAGTGGCCTACCCGGACGAACCTTGGCCGCTGCGTAAGCGTCGTCATAGTCATCGTAAGAACGTGGTTCAGCCGGCGGGGCCATGTTGCGGCCATTTCGTCCGCGCCAGGACATCCTGCCGCCAAAGTAGGTAAGAAGACTGATGTTAAAACCTAAAAGGTGCCGGAAAGCTGCCCTAGAATACGCACCGCTACCTAACAGCCCTTGCAGTACTTGGGTTTGTTCCAAGGGCCGATGAGCTGCTTTCTGCGTCCAACCCGACAAAATACCGGCAGAACAAGCAGCCGTGAGGCGGCAAATCCCGCTGCTTCAAAAAAAGGGAGGGACCTGTTGCACGGTGTAAGTTATGCTTTTGCACTGAGCCAACTATAATAACATTTTGATCATCAAATACACTAACATAAGCATATTTGCAGCTCTTCATGCATGTTGTCCAACTTCACGGCAGGTCGGAATCCAGGCTGAATCAAAGTTGTCCCCTCGATGCAACACAGGCGTTTGCAGATGTAACAGCATATAATTACAATCTGAAGTAAAGAGAATACTTAACACGGATCCCGGTCTTGTCTGTGCGGGCCCTCCACCGTACTGTTAATAAAAACACAAAACATTCGAACGTGATATACTAAGCCCTCAATCCCCAAGCCATACACAAAGCCTTACAGGCATCCACAACCTGTGTCTTACCAACATAACCCACAACAGGAACAGCTCTCTCGAAGCCACAGCCAACTTGTTGCCCCAAGGGCTGCCCCATCCGAAGAAATCGGCGCCCTTTTAACACCGAGAATGAAGGTTCCCTAAAGTACCCCATCAAGATACCAACGCACAGAACATACACCATCAGGTTCCCGAAAGCGCACTTAGCGCCCAAAGTTGGCGTAATCCCGTTCCGCGTTGTAGGGTGTCCACACGATCTTGGTGGGGTCCACCACGAGCCCGGGCCCTCCAGCCGCCTTGAGGTGCTTCTCGATCAACTTGGGCGCCGCACAGATGACGTGCTGCGACGTGCGAGCGGGATGGGCTAGGCCGTGTTGCAGCACCCCGCAAAAAGCCCAGGCCCACAGATTTAGCAATAGCAACTCGGCATTACCCGCCATCTGATCTACTAGACACGCTTGAAACTCGGGTTTATGAGCTGGCGAACACTCGTCGACAGCTGGCAAACAGCTTCATGTGACTGCAGGCCATGTAAGCACTGACAAACCCGACCCGCCCAAACCCGGTAGGACAAGGAGCCATTAACGCAGGCTAACCTTATAACATGCCCTGTGTAATATGCCCCTTAGCGCTGCAGCCTGCAATCCTGGCGGGTGCTGTTGGACCTTCGTCCCCGACCAGATCCCACAAAACCGAACAGACGCCAGACGCCCACCTAAGCCACAGTCGATATCCTGAGCCCGAGATCCTGAGCCCACTACGGTTCCGTGATTTGTAACCACCACTGCGCGCTGTCCCATCCGCCTACCTGACCCTTCTGGTACTGGATGAGGCCGAGCGTCTGCAGCGTGTTGATGATGTCATCGGGCTTGATGGCGGTAAGGTCGGACAACTCCTTGATGGAGATGGACCCCTCGGCCTCGCGCAGAATGGCCAGTAGCTCCCGGGTCCAGTAGCCGTGGTAAGACACCCGGCCCAGGTCCGAAAGGGGCCGCTCTGGGGTGCCAACCTGAGGTGTGTGTGTATGTGTGTATGTGCGTGGGTATGTGTATGTGCGTGAGTATGTGTATGTGTATGTGCGTGTGTTTGTGTGTGTTTAAAAAAAAGGAAAAGCCGCGAAGGGCATGGGACAGGTAAGATATGCGTCGTCAGCAGAAAACATACGATGTGCGTTTACGAGGCATCTGCATTCGAACGGATCATCACCTACTTTCCGGCGTGTGTGTGCGTCCGTATGCGTGTATGAATGAATTCTCTTACTTACGCGCATATAAATGCATATGTACATATACACATAGACATATACATATGTGTTCGTTCCGGACGGACGGCAACAAAAGCGCGTCATTTTCTATTCTCTGCATACATCTTCCAGTAGTAGTTAAAGGAACCAGCAGTACCTCTGCACCCTACACCTGCTAACCCTCGTGCCTAACCCGCCGCATACATACCTTGCCCTCGATCTTGGACAGCTCATAGCTCATAGAAATGAGAAATTTGCCGTAGCCCTTGCGCTGGTAGGCGGGCAGCGTTAGGATGCAGGCCAGATTGTACCCCTCCTCGCTGCACTTCTCCTGCGCGAAGAGACGAGAGCAGAGAGGAGGACGGGGGGATAGGGAGTCCAGGGAAGGGAAGGGAAGGGAAGGAAGCCATGTGTTCGTGTCGTGGTACCCGCCGCCCCCTACAGACGAAAGCGACATTACGTAATGCTAGTGCACGACTCCGCACAGGGCAATAGTCATCCAGGGGAAGCACGCATGAGCTTAGAATTCCTAAGGGTTTTAGGGTTTCAAGGTTCTAGGGTTTTAAGGTTGCTGACAGCAAGAATACGCGCTCTGGAAAGGGGCGGGGAGGGGTGGGGTGGGGACGGGAAGGGGATGGAAAAGTTGCGCAGCGCGCCTATCAGCGCTGCATGATCCCCCTGGTCCAAACAGCCCCAGCCATGTTGCTGCCCGCCCGCCGTACAACAGCCTCCCTGCTGAAAACCGCCGACACAGCACAGGGAACCAATGCGCCGGAGCGACCTTCGGCACCGGAAATCGATGCCAATTTGAATCACTGCCATCGGGGCCAAATATCATCGAGCCGCAATTTAATTTCTTTTTGTCTTCTGCCGGCCGTTTGGTTATATGCCCGCTTATATATATTATGCCCACAGTCGGTGGTCTCAGCACCTTGGAGAAGTAGCCCACGATGTGTGCACCGCGCTCGTCGAGCTCGCAGAGGATGTAAAAGAGGAACAGGTCGACATCGTAGTAGAGCGTCTTGTGGTCCAGGAACAGTTTGGCTAGGTAGCACAGATTCTGGCAGAACGCCTTCTCCTTCTTGCCGTCCACCTTTCGGGGGATGTTAGCGGGTGTTTGCGTGGGTGTTGCGTGTGTGTGTTATGTGTGCATATATGTATGTACGTATGTGTGTTGGCAAAGAGGGAAGAAATGTCGCGAGGTGCGGGCCGTCCAAAGTTACAACACCTTGGGTGCGGGCCGCCATAACCCCCGAGCTAATGTCCCCCGAGCTAACATCCTCAACCCCCCGAGCAACCGGGTCGCCAGGCGCCTAGCCAGGGATGCAGGAGGGCCCATTACGAATAATCCGACTTAGGGCACACAAACAGACACACATATACACAGAAACATATACATATATACATACATATGTATACATACATATGTATACATATATATACACATATATACACATATATGTATACATATGTACATACATACATATGTATATACCGCATGCACCTGCACCCCGGCGCATCCATCCGCGAACGGCACATCCACCCGCTCACCCGCTCACCTCGAACATGCAGATGTTGCTGTTGCGGTAGATTTCGTTGCCTGGCGGGTGGCGCATGCCGCACTTGCTCATGTGCCGGATCATCTGCGAGCGGCGCTTGAAGAAGTGCAGACTGAACTCGCAAAAGTAGAGCTGCTTGCAGTCCTTGTACTCGGGGGGAAACGGGGAGAAGTACCAGGTATCCATCTGGTGACGTCCCAGCTCGATGGTCTCGATGTTCTTGACCTGAAAGTGATGGTGATGGTGGGGGCAACGATTATGTTTATTATACGATACTCGTATTAATACATAAAATTAATATGAATCACGATGATGATGATGATGATGATGATGATGATGATGATAATGAGGAGGGGGAGGACGATGATGCAAGGCGCCAGCAGCCGATGTCCAAACCAACAACAAAACACATGCAACCAAGCCACCCACCAATTGGTTTGGTGTAAAAACACACCCATTTAAGAAGCCATGACGCGCCCCCCTTACCCACCCCACCTTGGTGAACTCCTCATGCTCGCGAAGTGCCGTCGGATCGAAGTCCGCATGCTCGCTGTCGCTCTCGTGCTCTTCAGCCGCCACCTTCTTCTTCTGACCCTTCCTGCACCGGGGGATGGGTGAGGAGAGCACCGGCAACGGGAATTTTTCGCCGTTAACCGTTAACGGTTGGCAGCAGCAGCAGCAGCGGCGTGGTGTTCCCTGTCCTTTCATGTCCCCCCCGTCAAAGAGCATAGAGCGTAACGGGATCTCCCCCGCCCCGTCATTGCCGCACCGCCGGCGCCAAGTGCACAGCCCTCC